ACATTTAAAATGCACAAAGGTGGGGTGGAGCCTTATGAGCACTGTGTGTGACCCGCCTACCCTGTTTCCCAGGATGGTTGGGGGACCTCTTCTTAGCTAATTACACTGCAGCGACCCCCGTTCCCAAGTAAGGTCACAGTCTGGGGGTCATTATGAATGGGTCAGCAGGTGGAAGGTGTAGGCAGAGAATATTGACATCAGCAAAGGAAGCACTATCTCTCAGAGATGCCTGAATGTGGAATGGGGTGCTGTTCTCAATATTCCATCAAGCACTTGATGAGAATTAACAGAGGTGCAGAGCAGATTCAAGCATCCCAAAACTGCTTGGAAAAGATCAGCTTCAAGATATGCCCTCTTAACCCGGATAGGCTTTCTGTATAATCAACTTCAGGAAGCTGCATCAGTCCTCAGATTTACGAACATGAAACCAGCCTGTCTAATGTACACCCTCAGAGGAGCTCGCTCTGTGGGGATCTGCAACATTCTTGGGAAAATTTACTCTAGATTTTCATGGCAGAGCATGATGCAGTCACATCCCAGAAAGTCACAAGTTGTAAAATTAGGCACCTCAAAGCTCCTGTTAATTGTAATTCAGGGGCATCAGTTATTGTTTGAAGATGCTGGTTCTGGATTATGCTTAAGTGTATATCTGGTATTCCATGTAGGTGACAAATTACATGCATTTCCAGGCAAAACCCCAACTTGTAGCAAATACAAAAGAAATCCAGATTTAGGTGAGGAGAGACTTTATATGAAAGGATGATTGCAACCAGGATGGCGGGGAGATGATGTTTATGAGGGTAAGGGAGCCACTGCAGGGGGCAGTGCTCCAGCCTTGAGATCCCAGCGATCTCGGAGATCAGGCAGAAAGGGGCTGCTTTTTCCTGGAGAGGAATAAACAGGCTCGAGTGAACAGGCTGTGGGGAAGTGGGCTGAGCTGGTGGTGGTGGAGGAATCAGATAGCTGATCAGGGGATGTTTTGTCCTGAGCTCAGCCTATTCTTAGGAGAGATGTTCTGGAGGGGATGAGTCAGCAACTTCAGCAGGTTATTTATTTCGCTGGACCTGTTTCCTCACTGTAAAGTAGGTGCAAATAGCGAGCTTGTCAGAGGGGTTTCTGAACCCAGATCTGTCCAACTCAGATCTCCCAGAGAAAAAAGATCACTTACAAATGAGAACTCAAGTCTTTACAAAGCCCTGTTTAAAGTTGGTTCCTTTGAAAAAGGTGCTAACTTATATTCTGAAATACGGTTACATACTTAATTTGATTAAATCGCCATCAAAGAATTTGATAAAATAACTTTTAAAATTTTGCTTCGTTATTTTTTTTAAGCAGTGGAGCATAGTACAAATCTACTGATCTAGAAACTCTATGCACAGGGCCCAGAGTCCATGTTTTAATAGCAAGCTCTCCAGGTGATTCTGGCACCTGGTACATGCTCAAGCCGAGGACCCTGACCTGTGCTTGAGCACGCCTGCTCTGACGTCAGATTGCCTGCGGTTGAATCCTAGCTCTGACATTTATTGGCTGTGACCTCTTAGGTCTCAGTTTCCCATCTCACAGTTTCTGAGACGAGGATTGTGGTTTGGGAAGGACTGAGTAGATGAAAATATGTTACAATGCAATGAATGACGTCAGGCACTGTGTCTGTTAGTATTATATATTACTGTATTATCATCACAATATCTGGAGTCAGTCTCCAGTTTGTGTGCTTGGTGTCTTGGAGAACCTGTTCTCAGTCAGCTCACAGTCTAGTATGGAAATCAGAACAAATAATTTTAATATAATATGCCATGGGCAATGAAAAAAGTCTCTACAGATGCAGAAGTAATGATGGGGAGGAAGATGAGTTAGGCACCTGGCCAGCGAGAGTTTCAGAGGTCGAGGGAGTTCACTTCCATATTTTTTTAGGCTTCTAATATAATAAAAAATAAACTTTAAATTAAAAAATGTCTGGTATGGAGGTTACGCAGTCACATTTTGAATTCAGAAGGATTAGAAGCTGAGCTTCGGCACTGTGTGGACTTTGGCAAACTACTTGTTTCTTTGAGCTTTGGTTTTCGTATCTCCGCCCAAGTCTAATAACCAGGGTGTGTAAGGGACTAAATTATATGTAATATATTGAACCTTTAGTATGCAGCACTTAACATGCATTAGCTCCTGTTCCTATTCTTCTGCTGAGTTTTGGGCACTACGTTGGTCTTCTCTGTGCTTCTACTTCCACATCTGCAGCAGGGGCATTCACTGATCTGCACTGTACAGCAGTTGAAGGCACACAAAGAGACAATAGCCTTGAATGCTTTTCAAAAGTGAAAAGCACTGTCTAAACCAGGGGTGTCTAACCTGCGACCCACGGGCTATATGCAGCCCAGGATGGCTGGGAACATAGCCCAACACAAAATCATGAATTTCTTAAAACATTATGAGATTTTTTGTGTGTGATTACGTGTCACAGTGTAGTTAATGTGTGGCCCAAGACAACTCTTCTTTTTCCAGTGTGGCCCAGAGATGCCAAATATTACAACTTTTAGTGGCCATCCTAGAGATTAAACATGCAGCACCCATCTGTATAGCTCTTTATGCAGGTTTAAACATGCAGCACCCTTTATAGCTCTTTATGTCTTCCTCTGAGGTTAAATTTGCACGTCTGCTACTGCACGGTGTCTGAGACTCTCCACGGCTCCTGCAGATTCTAGCTCTCAACTTTAATTTTTATTCCCCTACTGTCTTCTCCTCACTGTCTTCCACCAAAGCAGGGTCCTTCATTTCATTCCTCTTCTGTCAGAGCTCAGCTTTATTTATTGCTGACACGTTCTTGCAAGTAGACCATTGTCCCCTTCCCTAGCCATCTGTCATGAATGGGGAAGAAATGTCTACTGCTTGGGTGAAGACTGGGTTGGGGTCATTGGAAAGTTCTTTAGGAATGAAATGTGGCTTAAAATTTGAATTTGTATGTCTTTAATAGTATTTTCTGATTGAAGTTGAATTCAGGAATGTTCCCTGCCTTTTGAATTTTGCCACTCTTAATTCCCTTTGTTTCTATAGTTGTATTGCCAGTGTTTTGTTGTTGAGTTCTGCTATTATTGTTTTTGGCCTCAGCTCCTTGGCAAGGCGTAGGACATAGCAACTTCTTGGCCACCAAAGGCTTGCAGCAGGGTGGCAGAGACAGGGAACATATTTCATTGCTAGCTCTTTCTTAAAGACTAAAATAAGGCAAAATTATTTTAGGGGGTCAAGAACTCCAAAGCAGAGGAAAGTAAATTAACTTAACATAATTTACCTAGAGGTTCTTGCATCATTACAATAAACCACAGGAAAAAAAGCTCTACCTAAGTTCTCCTCAGATCAACCATTCTCTACAATAACAGTATCAATAACATTTTCCTCGGGAGATACTGGGTTGGGGAGATATTTTAGTGAGTGTGACCTTGTTGAGGTGGTAAGTGTTTGTTAATTCGTATGCAGAACTAACTCTTCCTGAATGGTTTTCTCTATTACTCCAGCCGGAATTTTACCAGTTAGGTTTTACCCTTCAATTATGAAAGCTCTTTTTACTGTCAATATCAAATGCATTGTCAATTTTTTCAAAATCCAGTTGTAGAACCTCTTCTGGATTTTAGGTGGTTTGGTTTAATTAACTTTAATAATATTTTATAATAGTATTATATTGGAAAATCATGTTCTCTCCTGTTCTATTCAATAATATGTCAGCTTTAACATTGTGATGACTTTTGCTAAGGTCTGACTCTAAGAGTCACTCTGATATTTGCTTAATGGATACATGTCTCCAGACATGCAAGATGCAAAAATAAGAGGAATACCATAATCACACCACATGCTGAAAGTTCTACTGAAGGTTCTGTCTCTGGGTTGGAGATGGCCATTGTACTCACTGGCTTCTGAGCAACTTTCATATTTGTCTATGTTTAGATGCAGACAGGTCCTTCTGATGAATAACAGGAAGACCAGGTGCAATTCCAACACTGTCCTATTGTGCTACAGTACTTTTACTCTTGGGCTTTGGTTTTTTTCATTGTTCATCCCCGCAGTGGCCCTGCCAGCTCTAACATTTTATGATTGTGAAGGATGTATCAGCAAAATTACTAAGTGATTACTTCAAATTGCAGCAATTTATTTAAATTTTTTTTATTGATTTTAGAGAGAAGAACAGGAGAGAGAGAGAGAGACGGAGAGGGAGAGATAGAGAGATGGCTTTGTTTTTCCACTTATGTATGTATTCACTGGTTAGTTCTCGTATGAGCCCTGACCGAGGATCAAACCCACAATCTTGGTGTGTCAGAAGGACACTCGAACCAGCTGAGCTATCTGGCCAGGACTCTTTTTCTTGAAGAGGAAATTCTATGAAACAAACAGCTACTTTGGAAAAAAAAAGTCTAGCCTCATAGGTCAAATTATCTTGTTAACCTAATTACTTGAATTCAGAAACTGTTGAAAAAGATTGCTTTGATTTATTATGTAAATCTATTATTGTACATTAAAAAAATAAATATATCTGTAAGTTGTAGCAAATGAAGTACTAAAGTTGTGAAGGATAGTGATTTTTCAACTGAAATATGAAAAAGGCAAAAGGGCAAAATAATACTCCCGGAAGTCGGCACAGCAGCTCTTTACGGAATGTCACGCTGCCCACCAGGGTGTGAGTGTCGGTGAAGGGCTCATGGTGATCGGCAGGGGCAGTGCCCCTGCGAATACAGCAGTGCTGTGAGTAATCGATGACAGTTTGGTTACTAACGAACGGAAGAACTAAAACCAAAAATTCAGTTGGAGACAGTTGACCTGAGAGTCTATTCTATGCACATAAAACCCTAGGTAACCAACTCAGCACTCACAGGAATAAAGGTTGACAACCGTGTTCTTTACAATAATGACCTAGAAAATTTTTCTCATTTAAAAACAGTCAATTTGACCTTTCTCCTGAGCAGAAGGATGGTAGAAATTGATAAATGAGGAACAAGTGAACAGAAGACAGGACCCTTTCCTTGAATAAACAGCGGTTTTATTCCTGTACTACTTTACTGAGAAGGTTTGTAAGATACCATATAGAATTTTTGACCACAGTTACAAATATGAAAATATATTAAGCAAATACATAATTTAAATAGAAAGACTAATGAATTTCTTTGTTCAAATAGCATTGGTTAGAAACACAACATTGTGGGGGAGGCACGATAGTATGAAAAAATAGAATCATCTACTGCCATTTTAAATAACCAGATTTGCAGAGAAAGCATACATGATATTAAAACCATAAAAGTGCTGTATTATAGAACATAATAAGTTCAGTTACTGGATTTATTTATCTTATTTATTTAAGCTTCACACAAACCAAGGAACAGTCAGATGGACCTCCATGGGCAGTAGTGTTACTAGATACTGACCACTTACCATCCAAAGTATTGGGCCAGGAGCAATTTCCACTCAACTAGTATATGTTCTTTATCTGTGAGCTGCTCACTAATTTCTACAAGGTAGGAGGAGAGATGAAAGATTTTGTCCTTGTCCTTGCAGAATTGATAAGGCTGATGAGTCCCTCTGGAAGACCGGAGATCAAGAACTCTCCAGTCAAGAATATTGGTGCATCTGGTTGTCAGCGTGGCCGACCAGGAAAGTGCATGCGGGCCAGTGCAGACTCTGCCTCTAGCTTGCAGATGGAATGCTGTCCAACTCTGCTACAAACTCCTAAAGCCACAACTGCATATGTTCCTTTCTTGTGGAGATGCTTATCTACTTACTCAGCTATTAAAATACAACATCTCTAACATGACAGGAAGTTAACTCTTAGGGTGAAAATAGTGTTTCTTAAAAGAAATTATTTAAGGCAGAAAACAGCCATAACTAACCTTTCTTGTGAATATTCTAGAAAGGACACATTACATTTGTCGGACATTATTCACAGTTTTGAACAACTTATTTTCGTATCTAATATAAGATCATGTACATTGGCACGTAAGTTATAAAAATAATCTTTGGTAAATCTGTTAACAGATTTCTTTTATTTCCATTACCCAAATCTCCATTTTAGGAACATTCGCCAACAATTTCCTTATTTTATGAATGTATCTATATAGACAACTTTTAAAACAACAAAATGCCTTCTTATCATATTGCATATATTTATTCTTAGGAAGCCTCCTTACAAGTGAAGAGTATTCTTTGAGTTAGAAATATTTCCATTGCTAGAAACATTTTTAGAACAGAACAGTTTTGTGCTGTTATGGCTGCATTAAATGAGACCCTGCATTTTAATATTAACTAAAAGGGCCAAACATTTTCAAAGGCCTCACCCACTACACAAATCTAAACTAATGTGTTCAGAATTTCAAAGTCAATCAATCTAGTCCAACACCTGGTCAATTTACAAAGTTAAAGGAATCAATTCAATAGTTTAATCAAGTAAATCATCTGGCCAACGCAATCAAAGTGAATTAATTCCCCGAAGGGTAACAGGTCCTAACAGAGACGCCGGAGGTTTCCAAACAACAGCCTGGACACACAGAAGAGCTGCCATTTTCTCTTTCCAATGATGTCTGGTTAGATCTTTTCAAATACTTCCCCTTCTTTGCATCATGTCACTTGTTTTCGGCAGTCACTGTTTACAGATTTTCCTTTTACGTAAAACATTCTTTGGATACCTGATGTGATTTGAAATCTTGGGCTAAGAATACTCAGAAGCTCAGGGAAGGCGGGCTGAGAAGAGCCTTTTCTGCTCTTTCTCTTCCAAAATGAGGTAGGGTTGAGGGCTTGCTCACAGCCGCCTTCTTGCCACTCTGCTTCTGCTGATCAATTGCTTTCATTTCCTCAGTGAAAAAGAACCTGGCAAGTTCTTGAACTGCTACCTCAAACAAGCAGCTTATTACCTGTTATTTTTCAGTAGGTCAAGTTCGCTCTGGCTCATGTGTGTGAACCTGAGTTTGGAGGACTCCAGAGTTGGGGCTCAGACCCTACTGCTCCCTGGCAGATCTGGCAGGTTATGGTTTCAGGATTCCAACCTCAAACGCCCAGAAAGTCGAGTGAATGTGGATTTAATATATAGTAGTTAATCTCCTCACAAAAGGTAAGAAGAATGTTTAATAAGGAGCTGCTTCCTGAGACACTAAGGCAAGAGAATCAGATGGTGAAGTATTAACATATGAGGTCTATTTTTGTATTGCTGGACACCTGCTAAGTAGTTTTACATTACTTTCACATGTCATTTGGGGTTGTCTTCCAAGAAATAATAAAAAATTAATTAAAGATCCTCCCAAATAAAACTGTCCCCCAAATGTCTGTGCTGTGGTCATTTTAGTATTTATAAGTGGTATTGGATGGAGCCTGAACAGACTACAAAATACTAATGAATTATGAAGAGATAAGATGAACAGAAAATAACACGAACAGAATAGGAAAGCAAACATATTCAAAAGGAAGCAGGGGGCAAGCAGTAAAAAATAGGACCTCATAATCTCTAAGGAACATTAAATTACTCAGGACAAATGTGTGCAGGCCCAGATAGCGAGATGAGTCTTTAAAAAATCTGATTTGGGGCTGAAAAATTGGCTGCTATCCAGAGAACAACTGAATGATAAGACAAAATTGACTTAATGAGTAGAGATTAAAGGAGTTAAAGATCCTGGATAAATAATTATTAAGATGCAAGACGGGCCTCTCTCAAGATTTGATAACTCCAAAGCACTTTGAAGATGGATGATTAAAGTGCACCACACAGGTGCACAGTCCGGATGCCCAGCAGGACAGGAAATGGAGTGTTTACCGAGACACAACCCATGATGGAATTAAATTAAAATACAGCCAATTGAGCTGAATGTCAAGGAAACCTGTTTTTGCCCTTCCTAAATTTAATAGATAAACTAGATTATGTATTTAGTCTTTGGTGGCGGCAGGAGGGAAGTTAGTGAAATAATTGTTGCTAAGGAAATTTAAAATTAGGTGGAGGGTAAGAATAAGTATTTCCCGGATTAGACCAAAAGAACATAAAGTTTTCCTTTGTCATGTCCATTTCCACAACTCTGACTCCACCCCACCGGGGTGTGTGAGTGTTATTGACAGCTACAGGTGTGCAGGTTCTACAGTTTCAAGTTTTCCTTTGTGCAGTGAATTGGTCTCTTTTCTAGACACAGTGGTTTGCTATGGAAGCAGCACGGGCGCTTGCCAGTGTGGCCCGGGGCAGGCTGCCCGCTGCCCTGGCTCGGCTCGGCTATCTCGCTGTCTCCCTGAGGCCCCCCTTCAGGCTTAACTGAAAATAGTCACAGGAACCCTAACTTTGTTATTGTGAAGCGTTCTTTATGTCAGCAGAAACATGTAGTTTCTAGACACTGTCTAGCAGGTTGCAGGCACTCAGTGAAAGTTCTCCAAATGAACGAAAAGCCAAAATGAATTTGTCTTTCTATGGATTCATGTGTTTGGTGTTGAGCAACATTAGTCTAAAATCTTGCTTATTTTTCCTCTTGCTTTTACCTTTCAATGTAGGGAAAGTTATTCCAAAGAGACACCACATGCCATAAGTCCCTGACCTGTATTTCCTCCCTGTTGGTATGGCTGCCACACTTACATACATGTTGTTCTTTTTCATTTTTATAACACCCTCCTAGTCCCCGAAACAGAATCAAAGCCTAACACTGTCATTTCATGAAGGTGCTGATCACAGTGAAACCATGGAGACCCGGAATCCTCTTAGTACTCTTCATATTCACTCCTATAAAGTTTTTTTCCTGTTTTTATAAATCTCAAATAAACCTGGAAATTTTCCTGGTTTCGGTGTGGCTTTCCATAACTATAAATAACTATTTAAGATATATTTAATGATTTTTAACTACTATGCCAGTTGCACCCATTATAGTAATTATGGAACTTTATGGTATGTGGCAAAAACATATACTTTGCAAATGAAGCTATGAGATCACCAAACTTGATCTCTAATTCTTAGTTTATTACACAGAAATTTGTATCGAGGAAAAGGCTGACATTCCTGGCTCATTTCTCAGGTAGCCATGAGAATTCCATACAGATGCCTTCCTAATTTTCCTCAGGAAGACCCTTGGGACTGGACCTCGATGAAGGCGATGCCCACTTTTTGACTCACTGGAATTTATTGTAGTCAAAATAGGCACAAATCCTGAAGATAAACTTAGTAGAACATGCAGTGACTTTTGACCTCAATGATTTACTAAAAGGATCTTTTGGAAAATTTTATGCTAAGCACCACTGAGCTTTCTTTTTTTTTATTTTTATATTAATTGTATGTGATCTTTGTGAACATTCCTATAAAAATGTTGGCATTGTGTCCTTTGATCAGGAGTATAATCTGCCACTACAATCTTCTCCTGATGGAAAAACCAGCATGACCAGCATGATTTTGACTTTTCCAGGAGTGCAGCCCACTGGAAAAGAGACAAAGACCAGTGTGCGCACCTCCACTGGCACATCCGTTACCGTCAGGGCATGTGCCCTCCACACCATGATGTGGTGACATCATCTCATGTCACTGTGGATGGTGCTTTGCATGTTGACTATATTTCCAGTCAGGATTCCAGATGGCATTCTTCTTGATGTAAGGAATGCACCACTGCTGTCTACACCCCTCCCTACCGCCACCCTCCACCTTACAGCCTGGACCCGCCCCAGCCCCCAGGGCAAGGCACCCTGGCAGGAGAAAGGGGAGAGAGCAACTGCTTCAGGCTCAACCACCTCCTTCAGCTTTCGTGCTACTCAGTCCCTTCCTTCTCCTCCCAATCCCTTCTATGACTGCCCTATTTGTCCAAGCAGCGTTTGGATCACCTTTGGAGCCCAGGATTCACAAGGCTGCAAGCGGCGAAGCCAGCACATTACATGTTCTCTCCAGCCCCACCCTTTGTCCTGTCCAGTGAGTATCAAAACCGGTAAAAAGCACGGCCCCAGGGATCACCGCTACGGCCACCCCAGCCCCTCGTACAGCAGTCCCTCATACAGGTTGCACCTACACAGAACGACCCATGAGCACTTTAGTGTGGAAAATAGCATTATATAAAGCTTAATATTAAACATTATGAAAAAATACATATTTACAGAAGAAACTACAAAATACAACTATGTACAATAATATCTGTTACTTTTAAATTACATAAATTCTTTAAAATTCTCCAGATTAATAAATTATACATAGTATCAATAGAAATAGCTGGCACCTCTGTAGAGCATAAAGTGAGTTTTAAAAAAATATCACACAGTGAATAGCTTTTATCCAGGATATCTTCGGGTACGTTCTCAGTGCCTTGAATAGCCCACATCTGAAAGGAAGGACACTGTGATTAGGGACAGTACTGGGGTGTGCCACACTTGTTTGTTCTGTGTGTGAAAGTTACACATGGGAAAGACTAGTGACAATGACTGAAACTCAGCATAGTTTAAGATGAGACCACCCCTGTGGGGTGCGTGGTCATTCCATTCAGAGCCATCTAGAATTGGAAAGGACTAGTGCTTCTGGCCCAAACCCTGGGGTTTCACAGGTGAGCCCGCCGGCCCAGAGAGGCAGCAGACACCATTCAGGACCACACAACTTAATGCTAGTTAGTTCTAGAGCTAGACCTGAATCCTAACCATCAGCTTCCTTCAGGAGCAACCAGGATTATTCTTAAAAAAAACAAACAAACAAAAAAAACTCTCAAACAAGTCAAAACAAGACAAAGGAACCCCGAGGTCCTTCAGGGAGCTTCTTAAAGAATCTGATATGCAAAAACCTCAATTTACTATACAGATAAATTAAGTTGTAATTATTTACAATTATTTACAAAAAGGCTTATCTGATGTACAAAGGACTCCTTTAAATAGTTCTCTGTCTTCTGTATTTGTGCTTTACAGCTTACCAACACTTTACCATAACATACTGGCCAGGTGGGTGGGTATAGATGTGCAGAGAACTAAATAAAATCGAAGATCTTTTAGAAATGGAGATAAAATAGTTCTGAAATAATGTTTGTCCAAAAAAAGATGGTCTGGGGTACACATGGCTATGGGCCCATGTGGCAAGGGACTGAGCCTCTGCCAGCAGTCACCTGAGCAAGTGTAGATGCAGGCGGACCTGGCCACTGTCTGACCCTCGTGAGAGACCCTGGGCCAGAACCACTTTGCTAAGTCCCTTCCAGATTCCTGATCATAGAAACTGTGAGCCAATAAATGTTGAATTAAACTGCTGAGTTTCGGGATCATTTGCTAGGTTGTAATAAATAACTAATGCAATGTAACTTCAAATTTACAATAAGCCTATGTGTTAAATTAAATTTCAGTGATGGTCTGGAGTGGGAAAAGGAATGCAAACCCTTCATTCGTCAAGTAAATATTGTCTGATCAAAGCAATGCCTTATAAAGTTTATGTATCTTTTCCTCCTGAATTTTTTATTTAAAAAATGTTGCAGGCTTGGTCTAAAAACCTTAAAAAACACACAAAATGAAAGAAAAATTATATGTTATTTTATTGTTTAGAGAAATTTGTTTTACTATTGTGGTATATTCCATTCCAGTCTTCCCCACCCCCCACCACGTGTTGTTTTTATTTGTTTTATGTTCTGATTTTCTTAATTATTTTTAAGAGTATCCATGGTTATTATAATATCCTCAAAATATCATTTTTAAGGACTGTGTTCTATTGCATTTAGTGTATGTGCCATTGTATACTTAGTCCTCCATTGCTAAACATTTAGGTTTCTTCACTAGAAATTTTAACTATGAAAAGCTTCATGCATAAAGTTTTTCAGTACTTACAGTGGTAGTAGAAATACTAGGTGACGAGATAAGAACATATTAAGGACCTTGGTACATACGGATTTTATACAAAGGGATTTTGTAATTTGAACTCCTAGTTGTGATTTCAAAGCATCCTCCCTGGCAGTGAGCCTTAGCATTTAGACAAGACATGTGAAGCAGAGTCTGTGACAGAGGGCGTCCTGGGTCAGGCAGGAAGAGAGAGCACGTGAAGCCAGTGCTCACCTGTGGGCGTCTCCTGCCTGCACCGCCTCTCTTCCCTGTCGCCACCCTTCGAAGACCTGTCCCTCAAGCCTTTGGGTAGAGGGACAAATAGTGCATGCTGGAAGAGCTCTGGTCTTTTCATGGTTTCCACATCAACCACATCTTGATAAATTAACTTGTAAGTTAGTGAAGTAAGCACCTACCTCTGTGATACTCTGGATTCACATTTTCGTAGATTGGAAACAAGGGGTTTTCTTGCTCACTCCGTAGCTTCCTTGCTCTGAGGACATCTCTTACACACTGATGCAGGTATACATACTGACACTGTGGGAAGGCAGAACACATGTCAGAGGAGGGCAAGTGCTCAAGTGTATAAAAGATGAAGATTCTCACAAAACAGTAGTGAGATGCTATACCATTAATACATGTCTTGATCATCACTTCACTAACAGTCTCTAATACATAGAAGAGTGACTGCTTTCTATTACCACTGAGACCAAATGGTGGTAATGGGCAGAAAGGTGGTGTTTATTCATTCTTTTGTACACGCATACATAGTTATACAGTATGTTTAATGAGGACCTACTACTATGCCTGGCATATAGTATGTCCTCCACGAATATTTATTAAATAGACAGATGAATGCCAAGCACTGTGCTATGCATTTTACATAAATTATTTCATTTGATTATTTTGACAACCTTGTGAAGTAGATATAATCATACATCTAAGTTAAGTAAATTCTCCAAGGTCACACAGCTAAGAAACTGAACCCTAGGATTTCATCCTGAATGTGTGACCTCAAATGTTCTTTCACTATACCAGTTTTCTTAGATAAATCTTAATTGCATTGCATTATTGAATGACAAAATCTTTTCACTGTGTATTCTGCTGTTTTATTTCCTTTCTTTTGGGAGTATAGTGAGAAAAAGAAGATGTGTACAATAAATGCCATTGGACTATCGGTTCTTTGAGGGCAAGTTCAGTGTCTTATCTATCTCAGTTCTCTCAGCATTCCATTCTGGCTCAGAGAAGAATCTCAGAGATGCTGGCTGATGCAGAGAACTACAGGGGGTTACACAATGGGGACAGACCCACGTGTCAACTCTGAGAACTACCAACTTTGAGAACGGAAATGAACATGGAGGAGTGAGTGTTCGGTGGTTATGAGGATACCCCAAAGCCCTGCATGGCCAGCAGAAGCTCAGTCACAGGGGCTCAACTTGTGCATTGGCCCCATTCCTGGCCGCCAGCTGAGCTCTCTAATAAGGGAATGTATGTCCCTGTCCTTGGAAACTTAGTGCTTGGCCTTGCACACACCTTTTTTTGGTAAAAATTTCATTTATTTATTTTTAGAGAGAGGGGAAGGGAGGGAGAGAGAAAGGGAGAGAAACATTGATTGGTTGCCTTTTGCACAACCCCAACTAGGGTCCTGGCTGCAACCCAGGCATGTGCCCTGACGGGGAATCAAACCAGTGACCTTTCAGTTTGTAGGCTGCTTCTCAATCCACTGAGCCACACTGGCCAGGGCTTGTGCACTTGTAATGACACAGCAATTGCTCCGTGGAGAGAGGAAGTTGGGAAGAGAGCACACACCATGTGAGGGGAGCTGGGCTCTCCATCTCATCTTGACTGAGTCATGAGGCTTCTGAGGATCTCAGTTTCTCCACCTATCAAACAAGGTGGCAAAGGTTTCCTCTACAGCTGATATCTTTTACCTTTATACTCCTAAAGGGCATAAAACTTTGTGCTGCTGTCAACTAGATGGACCCCTATGATCAATGTAGTTCACCTTACAGTATTTCAAAGGTTTGAGACACAAACTGAAACCATAAGGCATTCCCTCACCAGCTACCTATAAAAGTGAACGAGTACTGTTTACAAGGCACTGCTCCCGATTGGACGCTAGCTCCGTCATCTACTCATGGGACTCCATCAAGCACGTCTGGTGAAATCACCACAACAATTCGAAGAAACAAAACAATCATAAATGAGGCCTGCGTTAATATTAATGATTCTCTGCCTTTCTGCTCACAATTCTTGCGCACTTGTTATGAGGGTTTTATGCTATCTTTGTCTTGAAAATTCAGGGAGGCTACTACCTTGAAAATGGTTGTTAGTACAGGCAGGTTTTTTTTTTTTCATCTTGAAAATAGTCCACCAAATTACAGACAGACATAGTCTTGCTTCCTTCCATCCAGAGCACGATTCACATTTCAATTTTCCGGAGATATTAAATTACTTTGGGACCTTAGTGTTCAGAGGTGAATGAGCTCTAATACCTCTATGTTATGCCTTATTAATAAATTCTCAACAATGATCTGCCATGGGCTTTGAAACCAGTTAATATTTATTAATTTTCCTTGTCTTAAATGTAAATTTTTCTTTTCCCAATAGAATGTCCTTTGGAGAATGATTACTACTAAAACCTTCAGGTTGTTAATGTGCCTCTTACTTCATTCACAAAAAGTAGACAAAGTCTAATACATGAACCTTAATCACAAAAGATCCTTTTTTGCTCTGTTTAGCTAACTGGTGAAGCCTTAGTTCCATTCAACTTTGCTAAAAGTTGTAGTATTAGGTAATTTTTAAAGAATTATACTTAAGGCCTTTTCATGGTTCATGAATGCAGAATTTAGCAAAGGGGCAGATATATGAACAAACACCTATGAAGTGATAAATGTAAGACAGAATTGTGTAGAAAGCTGCATACATAAGAAGAAGTGATCAGATTCACTTCTGGGGGTGGCAAGTATCAAGCTAGAGAGAAAAGGAGACATTTGCATGAATCTGGGCAAAGAAGTACAACATTCCAAATGATGTAAATAGCATGAAGGTGCACATATGTTCTGGAAACTGAGCAATCCAATGTAGCTAAAATGTAGAGTTCATGGATCATGGGAAACCCCCAAGACAATACCCCAGGTGGGCACTGAGATCCCCAGTCCTACACCACCCCATTGTTTCCTCCTTGAGGAGAGCAGGTTAGATCCATAGACTGACTACCAGCTATTGTTCTTCAATGAGTTACTGCTCCATCTGAACATCTCTCTAGAGTCTGTCTGCCCCAAGGTAGGCTAAAAGAAGGAGGGACACACTTGTAAATCCTTTGTCTAATACCTTTTTGTTTAAAAATCCTTGTTCTTTGATATATTTATTAGGACCTGGAAGACTTACATCCCTTTGTATTCCAAATAAGGTAGAGTAAAGTAGAGGTTAACTATCTCCATGGACCCAGAAACATAACCCAATGGGTCAGAATAACCGTCCTCCTTTGCTGCAACAGTCACCCGCAGGGGCTCATCTGTGGGTCATGCCCCTCCGCACACACGGCCCGCACCAGGTGAGCCTTGCTGTGCTAGGGCCAGGGCTTTGAAGACTGTAGAAGCAGCCTGCTCTCAGCAGAGTCTCAGAGCGAGACAGATAATAGCTGGGTTTGTTTGGGATTTCATTTGCTACAGGAAAAAAGAGGAGAGATAAAATTTCTATCTCCTTGCAATGTTTATTTCATCATGAACAGAAGAATCAAAGTTGATTCTGCCCCAGGGAGAAAAACGACTATGGGGTGGGTGGTGTTATGACTTGAAAGTGGAGAGGTGGGCCCAGTGACAAAGAGACTTGTACACAAGAATGAGAACTTGAACTTCATTTTACAGGTGATGGAGAGCTTTCTAAGATTTTTATGCCAAGAGCTGACACAGTTGTAGGTGGTAGTGGTGATGAAGAGTTGTCAGGACAGGAACTGGAGACAAGAGACCCACTGGGAGCTGAGAAAGGGCTGGGCAAGGGCGCTGGCAGTGCAGTGAAGGGCTGGAACAGAGAGAAAGATGTCGAGTAGAACTGACAGGACTTGGCGGCTGTTTGAACTTGGGAACTGCAAGAGAAGAAGCCAGACCCCTAGCTTGGGCAATCAGATGGATGGCAAGGTGGGTGGGAAGATTGTTACCCGAAACTGGAAGGAGCCAGAGCAGCAGTGCTCTTGTTGTTATCATTGTTGTTTGTCTTTTCAAAGATAGATCATGAGTTTTTTGAGTTTGAAATGACTGTAGGGCTTCCAGGTGGAACATCCTGGTAGGCAGGTACATAGCTGAATGCTGGGAAAGGGGAATGCGATTTGGAAAACATGGGTGAGTACCTGGTTCTTGAAACCATGGGAGTGGGGGGCATCACAGAGTAAAGACAGAGGCAGAAGAGTGGTGCCTTGAGGACAGAACCTTTGGGGAAATCAAACAGTGAAAAGGCAGCCTGAGGAACAAGGGCCACAAAGTCCTCAGAGAGGCAGGAGGAGAAGAAGAGAACAGGGAAAAGAAGGAGCTATGTCCACAAAGAAGGAGGGAGGGCTTTGGCACATCACGTTCCCCCTGCCCTGGAAGTCACCCAGTGGTATTTACAATAGGAAGTGCCTGTGCATCATCAAAATGTGTCTCCAGAGGTCTGGGCAGGTGTATGGAAGTGACCCATAGGCTAAGAAGCCTCTGACAATAACTAGGGAGTCTGAACACACACACACACACACATGCACATCCCCAGTGGTCATCAATAGCTGCCCCAATGCTTGCGTAAACAACTTATGGGTTATGTGATAGTGGATGGTCAGTGTCAATTTCATCAACACTGAGAGAGAGACGCGCAGACAGAAAGTACCTCCTGATGTGCTACAACAGGAAGTACTCAGCACCATCCATGAAACACTGTGGTGGTAAAAATGGACCAGAATTTAACAGAGCCTCACATTGGCAGAAAAAAACTATAGGGAACAGAAAATACATTACCACCATGAAAAAGCAGTCAGTCACATCCACAATGTGGGAAAATCTACAGAACAAATGAATTGGTTTCTTTAAAAAATATGTAGTCCAGAAAACAAATTAGAGGAAGGATTATTATAGATTTTTATAGATTAAAAGAGACCTCAACCAAATGCAATGTGTGGACTTGGTATTCAAATGCAAACCAAGTATGAAAAGTTATTTTTGAGGTAATTAAGGATATTTAACACTGACTGAATATTAGATGATATTAAGAAATTATGATTAAAATTGTTAAGTGTGATAATGATACTGTAGTCATAATTTTAAAAAGAGTCCTTATTTATAATTTGCACATTCATACACATGGTATTTAAAGAGGAAATGATGTGATAAGTAAGAGAATTTTCTTTAAAATATTCCAGTGAGGTCATGGAAACAGTACCCATGGGATGTAGATGAAAAACAAACACAGAATACTGGTAATTGCAGAAGGCTGAGTTTGGGTGGAAAGAATGTCATAATACTATTTTTCCTAGTTTTATGTATTTTTAAGAAATTTCATAATAAAACAATTGCTGTAGTGAAAGTACTCCCAGCCCAGGACAGTGGTGGCGGCACAGCCTTCGGGAGGTGGTGACACCAATGTTTCCCCAAGTGTGTTACAGAATCTGAGCTCTGCATGACATTAACATGTGCTACCCAAGAAAAAATCGGGGACCCAAGGTGGTTTTCGGAATAGTGGGTGTGAAACAGCTCAGGGGAGCTTTGCTGCAGGAGGCCTGGGTGTGGGGCACGGCTGCCTGAGCAGTGTGCTTGTGTGTGGTGACTATATGAAGGAGGTGGGAGCAGGTAGAACATCCCGTTTTTTTTGACCGTGGGAATTATATTTTAAACAGAGGATGCTGGTGCACCTCTATGTTCACTGCAGCATTATTTACAATAGCTAAGATATGGAAGCAACCTAAGCATCCATTGATAGATGAGTGGATAAAGAAAAAGTGGTACATATATACAATGTTTAACCATAAAAATGAATGAAATCTTACCATTTGCGACAACATGGATGGATCGAGAAGGTATTGTGTTCAGTGAGTCAGAGAGAGAAAGATAAGTACAATATGGTTTCACTTATATGTGGAATCTAAAGAACAAAATAAATGAACAAACACAACAGAAACAGACTCATAGATAGGGAAAACAGACTGATGGTTGCCAGAGGGGAGGCAGGGTCAGGGGACTGGGTACAAAGGTGAAGGGATTAAGAAGTACAGATCGGTAGTTACAGAACAGTCATTGGAATGTAAAGTACAGCACAGGGAATATAATCAGTAATATTCTAGTAACTATAAATGGTGTCAAATGGGTATGAGACACAGGGAGATCACTCTGTAAGTTATATAAATGTCTAACCACTATGCTGCACACCTGAAGCTAATATAATATCGAATGTCATTGGAAAATAAGAAAATTTAATTAAGTAGAGGATTTCGCAGAGTTATGTGGGAAACACAAGGGTAAGAGAGCTTGGGCGATGTAAGGCAAATATGCAGGAAATGACAGGCATGCTGCATGTGGGGGCACAGACCCGTCCCAGGGGCTGTGGGGCAGTGAACTTGCTGCTTAGGGCTTCCGATTCTCTAGAACAGGTTCAAGTGCCAGTTTGGCCATTTCAGAGATGTTTAAAGTCCTTCAGCCTCTGAATCTCAGTTTTTTAGCCTGGAAATGGGGAATAATAACTCTCTTACCTGATTATTGTGAAAAGCTAGTGAGTTAACATGTTAAAAAAATGCTCTGCAAATGCCAAAGGACAATGCAAATGGACAAACAAAAGGACAATGGACAATGCAAAAGGACATTTATCCTTTGCAATCAATGTACTGTCCTTTGGTCTCTTCAAGGTGGGGGGTGCAGCTGGAGTGGGCTGGAGGAAAGAAGAGATTATAATTTGTTTCTTCTTTACTAATTGAAGTTCTTGTGCTCACCCACCAGCCTATCTAAAAGTGATCGCCAAGATGGTCTGGCCTTGGACTTTCTCCCATGTATCATGAATTGATTTAAAAAATCTATCTTCCTACCCACCCATCTGCAGAAGATAGGCAACCAGCTCAATAAAGATAAGGGTACACACCATCCTCAAAGATCACTGAGATTTGTTTTAAAATGACAAGTCCTAGAAAAACTGTATATTCAGTGCCCTTCTCTTCCTGATGAGTCATACTTGTTTTCCCTACTCAGATTAAAGCCCTGAGCAGTTGGGAGGTTTGAGGGAGGAGGCATGGAGAGTAGCCTCTGTCCTTTAGCCTGTGACTCTTACCTCAGTCTGGACCATGTGAACCCTGTGAAGCCTTAGGTCATGCACTGCTCCATAAATGTCCACAGAGTCTTTGGAGTCTAATTGCTGGAGGATTCGGTCCAATGCGATAAAGGTTCCAGTCCTACCCACGCCAGCACTAGAACAGACATTGAAGGAAGACTGAGACTTTTTATTATATTGGCCTTTCAAAACTATATCCAGAGACTTTAGCAAGATCTTTCTTTTCCTTTCCAAGTTATGGGAGGATATAGGAATACTTCTTTCTCTCCACAAGCTCTCTCAAAGAAATAAAACCTACAGCTCCAGCCTCTGCTTCTTTCAGTCACCTCCCCCATTCCACCAGGGGTAAGTACTGCTCTGCATTTGGTGTGTATCATTTCCATGCATTTTAAAATACACTTTTCCGGGGCTTCTAGCCAAGATGGAGGTGTAAGTAGATACTCTCCTCCCACAACCAAAAGAAGGACAGCAAATTAAAAACAAACAAACAAACAACCAGAACTGCCAAGAAACCAAACTGTAGGGAAGTCCAACAACCAAGAAGTTAGAGAAGAAACATTCATCCAGACCAGTAGGAGGGGCAGAGGTGGGTAGCCAGGGTAGAAAGGACTCCTGTCAGGGAAGCGAATGGAGGACCGAGTGGTCCCACATTTGTGTGCAGATAACCAGGAGGAACAACTGGGGAACAAGACAGACCATGCAACCCAGGGTTCCAATGAGGGGAAATAAAGCCTCAAAACCTCTGACTGAAAAAACCTGTGGGTGTTGAAGTGGCAGGAGAAACTTCCAGCCTCATAGGAGAGTTTGTTGGATTGACTCATAGGGTCCTAGAACATACACAAACCCACCCACCTGGGAATCAGCACCAGAAGGGCCCAATTTACTTATGGGTAGCCGAGGAAGTGACTGAAAGCCAGCTGAGTGCTGAGCAAGCAGCATTGTTTCCTCTCAGAACTTTCCCCCACATACAATGCCACAACTCAGTGACTTGGGTTACTCCACCCTGGCGCACACTTAAGGCTCTGCCCCTTACTACATAACAGGTGCACTGACACAAAATAATATGGCCCACCTGAAAGAACAGATCAAAGCTCCAAAAATAGAACTAAGCAATAAGGAGATAGCTAACCTATCAGATGCACAGTTCAAAACACTTGTAATCAGGATGCTCACAGAAATGGTTGAATATGGTCACAAAATAGAGGGAAAAGTAAAGGCTATGAAAAGTGAAATAAAGGGAACCAACAGTGAAGGGAAGGAAACCAGGACTTAAATCAATGGTTTGGAGCAGAATGAAAAAATAAATATTCAACCAGGACAGAATGAAGAAATAAGATTTCAAAAAAATGAGGAGAGGCTTAGGAACCCCTGGGATAACTTTAAATGTTCCAACATCCGAATCATAGGGGTGTCAGAAGGAGAAGAGGAAGAGCAAGAAGTTGAACACTTACTTGAAAAAATAATGAAGGAGAACTCCCCAAGCAGTCACAGGAAATAGACTTCCAGGAAGTCCCAGAAGCTCAGAGCATCCCAAAGAAGTTGAACCCAAGGAAGCACACACCAAAGCACATCATAATTACATTATGTAAGATTAAAGATAAAGAGAGAATCCTAGAAGCAGCAAGAAAAAAGGAGACAGTTACCTACAAAGGAGTTTCCATTGGACTATCAGCTAATTTCTCAAAAGAAATCTTACAGGCAAGAAGGGGCTGGAAAGAAGTATTCAAAGTCGTGAAAGGCAAGGACCTACATCCAAGATTATTCTACCCAGCAAAATTATCATTTAGAATGGAAGGACAGATAAAGTGCTTCCCAGATAAGGTCAAGTTAAAGGAGTTCATCATCACCAAGCCCTCATTATATGGAATGTTAAAGGGACTTATCTAAGAAAAAGAAGAATATCGAAACTACAAACAGTAAATGACAACAAACTCACAACTATCAACAACTGAACCTAAAAATACAAAAAACAAAAACAAACTAAGCAAACAACTAGAACAGGAATAGATTCACAGAAAGGGTGAATTCACAGAAAGAGATCACATGGAGGGTTATCAGTGGGGAGGGGAAGGAGGGAGACTAGGGGAAAAGGTACAAGGAATAAGAAGCATAAATGGTAGGTACAAAATAGACAGGGGGAAGTTAAGAATAGTATGGGAAATGGAGAAGCCAGCAAACTTATATGTACAACCCATGGACATGAACTAAGGTGGGGGAATGATGATGGGGGGGGTACATGGCAGAGGGGAATAAAGGGCAGAAAAAATGGGATAACTGCAATAGCATAATCAATAAAACATATTTAAAATAAATAAAATAAAAATAAAATAAAAGACTTTTTCCATATCCATGTAAACCATGAATAATTAATCTTATATATTTCAAAAATTCACTAAAATGATAACATGTTTCTGTATTCTTCTGACAACTTTTCTACTTGTGTTTCAGGCTTTACCCATGTTGTTACACATACATAATTTTTTAACCTTCTCTATAGAGTTCATAAACCACTGCTAATCCATCCACTGCTAATCTATTCCCTATTGATAGATAGCAAGATCACGTCTAGTTTTCTCTGTTAAAAATTGTGTTGCAGCGAACATCATTTACATGTGTGGGCATTTCCCTAGGGCTGATATGTAGAAGCATCACCGTGAATCATCGGATGTGAACACCTTCAACTTCACTAGGGATGGGCAAGTTGCTCCCCAACGTGTCTGTTTAACCTGGGGATTTTTGCTGCACATACTTAGAAGAAAAAGAAAAATGGTTCTCTGTGGTCCTGGGTAAAAATGCCTACCATTCTTCAGAAAGCAGGAAGCTCCTAAGTACCTCACATTCCTATTAAAAGCATCAGGGTTCCAGTGACATATAAAAGCAGAGCTCCTAGGGTGCTGGGCTGATTGGGAGAAAATGAGTGCATTTGACATTTCTTACTCTAGCTGTTCCCTGCTCCATATTTATTAGTGCCATTTAGTTAGGGCTATCAAAGTGTTGCTGCAAACATTAATTAGCTAACCACCAGGCTCCCCCGAGAGAAAGAGTGGGGTATGGATTGCTTGTTAGGTTGGTTTTATGGATACACAGTCTGAGGCCAAGAAAATTCAAGAGAGAACATAAATTTAAGAGTTAAATTGGGTGCTACAGATGGCCAGCACTAGTCTGCCTAGAGGGAGGGCTCAAGAAGGAATCTGGAAGGAGAGTTAGGGTTTTTATAGATGTAGGAGAGAGATAAGGCCATTCTAAGGAGTCAGAATGGTGAGAGGCAAAAATAAGTGTGCACAGTCTCCATCCTGGCTAGAGTGGGAGAGGGTTTCTGGGAACTTGGATGGGGGTAAAAAGGGGGACCTGGAAGTCAAATAAGGACTTTGCATTTTGTACAGTGGGAAAAAGCAAGAAGGAGATAGAAGGCTGTATCATTAGGGTGAGAGAGAGGAGGATATAAAAGAAAGCAGAAAAGGAGAAGTCAGTGAAAAGGAATGTGGCTGGGGAGAAGGGAGAAGTGAAGGTAACAACACCCTGTGGCCCAGACAAGCCATCCACCCCCAGGTTCCCCACCCTTTTTCCAGACTCGAGGTTGTCATTTTATTGGCTCCCAGCAGCCAAGTACCTGCAGTGCACCACGGTGGGCCCAGCACCAGGTGTCCTGTTGATGTAGTCCCTGACAGTTCTCACAAACTGGATCAGGGACTGGGTGGTCTCTGGGACTCCATGGTCTGGCCACACCGTGTAGTGAAAGTGGCGAATGAGTCTGTGTGTGTCGAGCTGTTCCTCCTGTAAGAGCAGAGAGGGGAGTAAGAACAACCCAAGGCAAACCATCAAGTTTGACAGTCGGGCCCATGCAGGAATGCCTGTGGGCTGAGAGGACAGGAAGAGCCAGCAAAAATGGGATTCCCCGCTGACCTTCTCCTTTCCAAGCTGCCTTATTAAATGACATCAGACAAACTAACGTACGCTGCATATCCTAAACTCCCGGATGGTCCACTCAGGCAGCACGGACTCTGAGAGCACCTGCAGGATGAGGTCCCCATAGTACAGGGACTCCTGGTCCGCTGGCCAGTAATGGTCACATTTTACCTAGAGGAAAACAGAAAAAATGTGAGTCCGGAAATGTGACTCTTCTATGAACCTGAACTTTCCCTCCTCGAAAGGTCTTCCTGAGTTGGCATTCAGGATCTGCTGCTGAAGCAATTTGGCCATCTGCTTCGTGTTAGCCTGCTCACAGCCAGCACCGGGCCTGAGCTGTTGCTGCACGTGCAGGGAGACACTCCGCTGAGGAGCAAAACCCCGACCTCTGGGTGCATTTATCCTCGGGCAGTATCTCATGGTTGAGTTTTTAAAAATTTCCTTAGCATTTCAGTTCCACCAGCAGATAAAACATCTTTTACCATGTTTTTTTGTTTGTTTGTTTTGTTTTTTAAAGAGAGATCTTGCTGGGCAGAGGAGGGTACTGTCTTTCAGGCTCTGTTTTGTTTATATTCTGATATTACTGTCCTAACCTGGACCAAGTGTCATGTGCCAAATAATATTTGAAAAGTGAGAACATTTAGCTAAACTTAAAATTACATGTAGAAAGACAGGAGAAAAAGGATTATGAATATATATTATTGACCACAGGTACTGGGTACTTTACATGAAAACTCTTAATCCTCAAGTAACCATATAAAATAGAGTTTATAAGTGCATTGCAAGAGGTTTGCTTGATTTGCCCAATTAACTACTTTACTTTGTGTCTGCAGACACAGCCTGAACTTCACGTCTCCTTCTTTCCTAAAAGTTGGGGCAGAGCCAGTGACTCTGGCAAGGCATCTCCTCTCACCATGCACTGCAGGACGGAGCTGACCAGTGGCCAGTTCATCTTCCTGCTCTCGGGAACTTCTATAATCCTAGTCCTCAAATGGAAACACCTTGGAACCTCCAGACCCAGAATCCAAACTGGGCCTTTTGTAACTGAGCAGCTTCATTCACTAACAGTGTTCTCACGCAATCCTTACTTAGCTTTTGCAGGGGCTAACTTTTAATGGCGGGGAAGAATTCCTGCCACCCTCCAGGTGGCGGAAAGCAAAGTTCGGAAGTCAGGAAGACTGTTTACTCACTCGGCCCTTCTCCACACACTGGGTCACCATGACAATGTTGTGAACATTCTGTTCCCACGCCATTTTCCAGAAGTCATCCTTAGTGCCAGGAAGAGGTCCCTGAGTAGCAATGTATTCTCTTCTGAAGTTGTTGCCCTGCGATGAATTTACAATATGGGGAGTCAGAAACAATAGGGCTCTTCAGAACTATAAACAAAGAGCGCTGCAGATTAGATGATATGTAGGTCTTTGCCAGGCCCCTGACTTGAAAGAAAGACACTAACACAAGTATCAAGGCTGGGGAGCAGGAAGGACAAAGGCCAGAACATGGAACTATTGTTAAGAGCTAAATTCCCTTTTATTAGGCTGGGTCTATTCAAAAAGGCAATGGAGGACTCAGGCGATAATCTAGAAAACATCCCTCTGCAAGTGTGTGTGTGTGTGTGTGCATGCGTGCAAGTGTGTGTGCATGAGTCTGAGGGACTCACTTGATCAGGCTCTTTCCCTCGTTAACACAGAAGCTTGTAGTCATTTTGGATAATCGACATTAGAATGTTGGGAAGAGATGTCATGCAATGGAAACAAGGAGAGAGGCAACTGCTGTTCATCGAGCATCTACCATTTAACATGCTAGGGACCAGGGCTTTCCCAGATTTTACTTAATTTTAACCACGACTCTGTGAGCTGGGGCATTTTCACCCACTCATTCTGTACTCCAGCAAAACAGAATTCCTTGCAGATCCTAGTCAAAGCTCTTTCTCTCCTTTCCTCTCCCCAGGGCCTCTGCATGATGTCACCTCTGCCACACCCACGCCCTGCCCACCCAAACACTGCCTCTCATCTGCTGTTCCTTATTTATCCTCTAAGTCTCAGTGTGTTGCCTGCTCTGCTGAGCTTTCCGTTATCTTTCTGTCTGCTGGGGGATGTTCCCCTCCTGTGGCAGCCTCTAACCTCTTGCTATACAGAGTGGTCCTTGGGTCAGCAGCATGGGGCTCCCCTAAGGACTTGTTAGAAGTGCAGGATCCCAGGTCCCACACAAGCCCTGCTGTATCAGCAGCTGCATTTTAATGAGACCCCCAGATGATGTGGATATGTGTTTCTCATGGTGTCGCCTTATCAGTACCTAATGCCCCAACTCTGCTGAGAGTTCCTTGGTGGTCAGATTCTGTCTTACCCTATCCCTGTACATAGCTCAGCATTTGCCTTACAGGTAGCACTTCACAAGTGTTTACTGAGTGACAGAATGATTATTGGAGATAAATATTATTCATCCTCATTGTTTAGAAAAGAAAATGAAGGCCCCAAGAGGTGACATAACTTGGCCAAGGTCACAGAGCCCAGCCAGGTGGGAATGAATCCTGGACCTGTCTGACGTTAAAGCTTTCCCCACTGTAGCATGCCATAGGAAGCCAGCAAGATGTTCGCCAGAATCTGAGCCCAGAGGTTTGACACAACCTTAGAGCTGTGTCTATGGTTTTCAAAAATACAAATAACTTTGAACCAGGCAGACTTATCAGGGGAGGTCCAAGTTATTTAGGGAGCGCTGACCTTGGCTAAGGGCTGCAGCAAGAAAACAACCTGTGAAAAGGCATCCGGGCTAACTATAGTCTCTTGCAACTATAGCCATTGTGAAAATGGGTCTTAGCAGTGATCCAATTGGACACCCCATGTTTTATGGTACTGAGACATGGTCTTGTCTTCTAAAACCTCTATGTTTCCAGACCTGAGAACAGTAATAGCAGGTAGGAGGAGAGGTATGTCCAGTGTGGTCACTCATCAGAGCCTTATCCGGGCGCTACAGCCCAGTGGCACACTTACAGGGATGTAGCTAGCATTGATGTAGTCGGAGCACGGGTCATCGTCCACATTGGACAGCTTCACTCGAGAGGCATCATCTGGAAGGAAGTTCATTGAGACAGATTTGTCACTGAGTTTTGGGGTGATCTCTCTACGGTCTATAGAATGGTTGGTTTCTGACATGCATTAGCTCTCATCCCCACAAGGGCCACCAAGGGTGAATCCTCATCTCCATTTTGCAGACGAGGCTCAGACAGGATAACTAACTTGCCCCAGGTTGCATAGATGGTTCATAAACACACAAACAGCCACGTGCATTTTGAAGGCCCCTCTGTGCTTTCCTTTGTACACTATTTGTAACACTACATCTACCCAAGGAGTGGTCAGCTCCCTCTCACTGCTGGAATGAATGTGATTCAGAAAAACTACCTTCTATTGCCTCACCTGACAGGGTAAGGATAATGAAAATGTATAATAATTATTTAATAATAATTAAATAACTAACAGGAGACTTTGTTAAGTACACTTCAGTTGGACTTTGCTGTTAACCTTTTACTGCTCTGAGGCCTCCAAGGAGAAGCAGTAGCACCACACAGTGAAACGTCAACAGCATAAGAAGCCACTCAGGACCAGGATTTAAGCTGGCCATGCCCATCCGCAGGGAAGTGCAATAAAATACAAGTCATTCCTTTCTCAAGGTATTCAGATCTTCCAAACCCAGCTAGGCTGTATTTCCTTAGCCCACTTCATTCTGGGAAGAAAAGAAATGGCTAGAGGAAGAGAGTATTACAAATTTCAACACAAAACTCACAGGGCAATATATTGTTGTATCGATTTTTTCCTCTATTCTCCGGCAGGAGTGCAATGTCACACGGTTGGTTTCGACCCACGTCTTTTAAGTCCTATTAGATAAAAAATAAGTTTCGAAGTAGAGAATATGAAATAGAAGGCAACAAATCACACAATCCTTGAGACAGATAATAGTATGAGAATATATGTACACTAGCTACTGTTTAAGGCATGCTTAGTATTGTGCGTGTGTTAGCTCTGATTCCCACAGTGGCCTCACAGTGGGTATTTTCATCTCCATTTTACAGATAAGGCTCAGACAAGACAACTAACTTGCCCAGGGTCACATGGGTAGCAAAGATGGGAATAGAATCCGAAGCCTGAGCACTTTTCACCAAAGCCTGTTGTTTCCCAGTCAAGCAAATGGCCATAGGTTAAGTAACTGACAGCGTGTGGTTTGCATTTTCACTTTGTTAATTCTCTCTTACCATCTTATCCAGGCAGCACTTTGCTGTGCTAACTCAGAGAGGAAATGGGCTGTGAGACTAGGTGGTATGTTGTGTAGGGAAGGGACTCATACAAAAGAGCACTCGGCTGAGATCCTAAGTGTCATCCGAACTCTTGACCCCAGTTAGCCCGTGATTCCACAGTACAGGCCGGGCTGGAAACTCTGCTGAGGACCAGGGTGCTAAAGCATCACTGCGTCTGAGCTGTACCTCGTACTCCTTGGACAGAAGGTAGTTGGAGTCAGCTTGCAGCTTCATGAAGTGCCCTTCAAACTGATTTACTTTTATTGGGCTATAGTTAAAATACAACAGAAGGAAAAGAAAATTACTGAAGGGAAAATCCCATAACCAGTTAGAGCTGTATTTTAAAAGCAGATAATATAGTAATTAATGAGTTTTCTCTCTTACCAAGAAGTTTTCCGGTTACTGTGAAAGGAAGCCAAAAGGAGAAAGACCTCATTAGTAAACCTCACATAATACAATCAACTCATTTTGCAGTAAATCACGTGAAGGAAGATGTGGTGCTCACCCTTTCTGGCCCAAGTTCAAGTGGACGGTTAATGGTCGATCCCGGCGGATGCTCAGGTGGGCAGAGGGTCTTTCTCGACCATGGCTGTAACATAAGGGACAGGATTTATATGCTGATTATGAAACTGGACTTAATATACTTTTCCACATATGGAAAGGCTGTGCATGTTTGCGCATATATGGATTTTTCAGTATTCATGTAGATTTATACCCAGCCAACGTCTCTTTGAGGGAGGGAAAGAGAGGAAGAACACAAAGAAGAAACAGATTTTTCTCACTCAGAAATGGATCTCTGCAATAGCTGGAGATATGTCTTCTGGTTTTTGGCTACAGGTCACAATCACTTCCCACACTCTCAATAAAACTTTCCTTAAAAAAAACCCCAGTAAACCTTAGTTGCAAGACATGACTTCAAGAGAGATCACAGCATGCCAAATAAAAGAAATTCCCTAAGAGAAGACAGTGTGGCATTGGGACCACATGCTTTAGTTCTTTTTGGTCTCTCCTTAAATTAGCATAGCAGATATGAGCCATAAAATGGTGATGTCAACCCCACTTTTCAGTATATTTCAGACAAGTGCTTGGGCACACTATTTGCAGACATCTCTGTCTTTATGAAGAGATAGAACCACACACATTTTTTTTTTTTTTTGCTGTGCAAAAGGTGTTATTTCACATTCAGATAAGGCTACACACAGCCCCTCAGTCATTTGGGAAGGGGCAAAACTCATCAATGGTGTGTAGAGAGGCTGAAACACATGAGTCATGGGGTTAGGGTTTGACTTTTGTTTTTCTTGAGACACAAAGGTGATTTAACTGAGAGAAATTAAATTATTTTCCCTTCTCACTGTTCAGACTAAAGGGCATTTTCAGTTGCATCTTTAAAAGTTGTGGGTTTGTACTCACCTCACTTTCTGTCTGCAGATGAATAAGGCAACAACAGCCACCAGCATGCCAATTAAGAACAGACCAGCACTCACACCTTCAATAACTCCGAACAAAGGCTCTGCAATAATCCAGAGGGAAACAACAGACCCAGGTGGGCACATCAGGGCTAACGCAGTGAGGGAGCTAGAAGCTCTACCTCTCCGGGAAAATAATTATGAAGAGGAATTTGAATGATACCCACACTGAGGCATTTACTATCCACAGTATAGGAGTGCACAGCTGAGAGGATGAAACGCTGGCCACTACCCTGTAATGGGCAGGTTGGCCATTATATGTTTGAAGTTAATGGTGTTCAGCTTTTAAAGGAATTTTGGACTTGTTTGTGCTTCTATGTAAAGCTTGGGACCCTTGAATAAATGCCAGCAATTTGTGACCAAAATAAAAATGCTATTTCATTTGTATAAAACAAGATAGAGCATCTGGGACTTTAGCAAATCCAGTGAATTGCTGAGAGTTATTTTAACAAAATGTTATTTTTGTTTTCTGATATAACACTGCCACTGGGAGTTTATAAACAGGTAAGAGTAGCCCATTTTTAAAAATAGTTTTATTGAAATATAATTCACATACACCAGTTTAATTCACCAGTTTAAACTGCGTAATTCAATAATTTTTAGTGTGGTCACAGAGTTTTGCAAACATCACCATAATTGTATAACATTTTCGTCATCCCTTCCAAAGCAACCCCTGCCCTTGGCTGTCATTCTTTATTCTTCCCTCCTTCTAGCCCTTGGCAACTCTAATCTTTCTGTCTTCATAGATCCACCTATTCTGGGCATTTTACTTAAACCAAATCATAAATATGTGCTCTTCTGTGATTGGCTTCTTTCACTTGGCATCATGTTCTCAAGGTGCAGCCACACTGTAGCATTGATCAGTATTTCATTCCTTTTTATGGCTCGATAATATTCCATTGTATGGACATAACATTTTTTAATCCAGTCATCTATTAATGGATATTTGAGTTATTTCTATTTTTTGGTTATTATGAATTATGCTGCTATGAACATGAGATTACAAGTTTTTGTGTAGGTGTAAGTGTCCATTTCTCTTGGGTATATACGTAGGAGCAGAATTGCTGGGTTAGATGGTAACTCTAGGTTTCACATTTTGAGAAACTGGAAAACTGTTTTCCAAAGCAGCTATACCATTTTTCATTCCCACAAGCAATGTACGCAGTTTCCAGTTTCTTTTTAAAAATATTTTATTTATTTACTTTTAGAGAGAGGGGAAAGGAGGGAGGAAGAAAGGGAGAGAAACATCAATGTATGGTTGCCTCTCATGAATCCCCAAATGGGGACCTGGCCCACAACCCAGGCCTGTGCCCTGACTGGGAATCGAACCAGCAACCTTTTGGTCCCGCAGGCTGGCACTCAATGCACTGAGCTACACCAGCCAGGGCTCCAGTTTCTTTTTGCTCCTGCTAACACTCATTGTTGTCTTTTGGATTATATCAATAGTTATTCTACTGGGTGTGAAGTAGTGTCTTATTGTGGTTTTAATTTGCATTTCCCTAATGAATAATGATGTTGAGTGTCTTTTCATGTGCTTATTGGATATTTGTATATCTTCTTTCTTCCTTGGAGAAACGTCTATTCACATTTTTAATTATTTGTCTTTTTACTATTGAGCTAACGTTAAGAGTTCTTTACATATTCTGGATACTGGAACCTTATCAGACACATGATTGGCAAATAGTCTCTTCTATTCTGTGGGTTATCTTTTCACTTTCTGCATCGACTCCTCTGAAGGACAGAAGTTTTAAATTTTGATTTAGTCCCATTTATCTGTTTTTTTCCTTTTACTTCTTGTATTTTGGTGTCATATCAAGGTAACTATTTCCTAACTGAAGGTCACAAAGATGTACTGTGTTTTCTTTTAAAAGTTTTATTGTTTTAGCATGTACATTTCGGGCTGTGGATTAGCCCACTTCTGAAGTTTAATTTTAAGCTTTGGATTTGTTTGTTCAATGTTGCTTTTCAAGACTCATCAAATCAGCATAATCATCTTTCTTTTAATTGTGGTCAATATTCTTTTTTAAATATATGTTTAGTATCTTTCTTTCCTGGATTATATATAATTTTTGTTGTATAACAATATTTCAAAGAGGAAGGAATCGTGTTTACAAAGCCTCCACTTAACGTTAAATTATAAGTAAACATGCCAAAGTCACCTTAACTGTGTTCTGATCTGTTTTTGATTTGAAAAGTGGGAGAGTATCCTTATATTTGGCACAAATAGATGGGAGTGTTTGGGGGCTGAGTCAGTCCTGTCACACAGCGGGAGAGGCTGAGATCTGAAGAACTTCCTGAGGCCAAGTACTGTGAAACTCCAGCTTCAGGGGAGGTCTGGGACAGGTGAAGTAACAAGGGAAAATGCACTGAAACATGCTGCTGTTCTCAGCCTATGGAAATATTCCAAGGCAGTGCAGTGCAGAGGTTAAGGATTCAGGAAGAAAGTGCCAGAATACCAGCTCTCCTATCTTTCCCAGCTCTACTTGGCTTTATTCAGCATGGTCCCTGTAAGTCTCCCTGATAAGGGGATATCTGCACAGAAATCTGAGTTACTTAAACCCTTGCTGCTTCAGGTCCTCACCTTTAATGTGGGGGTAATAGTGTCCATCTCAAAAGATTGTAATTAGGACTGAATAAGTTAGTCTATGTGCAATGCTTAAAACCATCTCCACAGAGAGGGTGACCAGTCCATATTAGCTGCTGTTATTACTCAGGTTTTCCCTCTGACACACAAGAGAAGTCCCTTTAATAAATTTATGTAAAGCCTTTTAAGTTAACATTTTGATAATGTACAACATATAATAAGCAAAAGGAAAAAGGTCACCTATAATCCCACTATTTTGAGATATTTGTTAATATGTTGGTATTTTTTCTTCTAGTTTTTCTTATGCATTTCTTGGTATATGCATGTATACTTTCAAAAGCCTTTTTGCATCTATTTATATTCTGACCTGTACAAGCTCTTTATTTGAATGTTTTTTCACCCACTATTAAAAAATTCATCTTTAAAAAAATCTGGTAACTTCTACCTTTTTCTAGATTAACCTGCCTTCAGTCCATTCTCCTGCAGAAGTCGTGTGATTCCTCCAGTTCACACAAATCCATAATCACATAAAGATTAAGTTCCAAGTAAAAATAAGTGTTGCCCCCCACCATCTGCCAAGTTAACTGATCCCCGCACTAGAGGTCTCAGTACGTGATTTGGCAGTTGGCAGAATATGTGGGTAGATGGAAAGGTTAGCCTTACCTGACTCAGTGGTGATAGGCAAAGAGAAAAATGTGTCTGAATAGAGTGGCTTTGTGAATTCCTTTTGGTTCTCATCAAACAACTGTGTAAAAGCTCGAATACTGATTCTGAAAAGAAAATGGATTTATGTAAGTACACATTAGTGGCTGACCACAGCAGGGCTGATGGAAGAATGTGCTCAAGCAGAAATGGGGTGGGTACCTGCCAATATGTATGTAAAGCAGAATATGAATTATGGAATCAGACAGACCTGGGTCCCTCCCCTCCCTCCCTCCCTCCCTCCCTCCCTCCCTCCCTCCCTCCCTCCTTCCCTTCCTTCCTTTCTTCCTTCCATCAAATATTTATGGAGGCCCTACTGTGTGCCAGTCCCTGTTCCAGGAGCTGGAGATACTACGAGAACAAAAAACAAGTTCCTACCGTCCCAGTACTTACATTTTTATGAAAGAAGTCAAATAATAAATACACAAATATGCTATACCAAATGGTGATATGGACCATGGAAAGGAAAAAAACAGAGTAAGGAAGATGGAAAGCAATGGGTATAGGGCATGTGGGACTGCTTTATTCAGCATGGTCAACAAAGGTCTCCTTGATAAAAAGATATATGCACAGCAATCTGAGGAAGGGGAGGGAGGGAGCCATGGCTGCATTCCAGACAGGTGTGAGGCTCTGAGGCAGGAACGTGCTTTCCTCCAAGGAGGCCAGCATGGCTGAAGCACAGTATATGAATGAGGGAGTATTAGTGGGTGAGAGCAGATATCTTCATGGGGCCAGACCATAGAAGACCCCAAAGGCCTTGGTGAGGATTTTGGCTTTTGTTCTGAGAGACATAGAAAGCCAGTAGATAGAGGGTATTATTGAGATCACTCTGGCTGCTGTAGCTTATAGACCACACAGAAGGGCAATGGTAGAAGAGAACCTTGTCAGTAGGGGATTGCAATAGTCCAGGTGGGAGATGCTGGCCTGGATCAGAACCCAGTCAAATTGGCAGTGAGAAGTATTGGCTATTTCAATGGAAGAGCTGAAAGATTTGCTGATGGATGTGCAGTATGAAAGGATGGAATCAAAGACGACGTCACATGCTCTGGCTGAGGACCAGCTAGAAGAATGCAAGTGCCATTTACTAACATCAAGGAAGACCATGGAGGAGAACATGAGGGGTTTGGGAAGATAGAGTTCATTTGTGGGGGTGGTAATTCCAGGGTGTCTGTTAGGGCAGTCGAATGGGTTAAATATCAATATATCAGTATTATTAGTATTATTGCTATTGTTGCTATTTTTAAAAGATAATTACATATATGAATAAAATTTTACGTTAAACATTATATTACAAATAAAATTACATATCTCATCTTTTTGATGCTTGTTATTTTCTAAGAGCCTTGTATCTAACAATATTTTAATTTCATTGTCATTGTTATAACATTTATTTAATGCCTTCTTTATATCTAATTGCTGAAGTTACAAAAAGATGCATACATAGTCACTACTCTTGAAAACTGACCCTGAAGGTAATAAGCAAGCAAGGTGCAGCTCCAAAAACACAGAATTATAGCCTCAGCCTGGATGAAAACCCTATTGTACCCATCATCGGCCCTAAAGCTCATGCTCTCTGGGGGAGTCAGGTCCAGTCTGGAGGGCTGCACTCAAGTTCTGGGGACATGTTTTAAGAAACATTAGAGACCATTCAAAGTGACTGACCAGCACGATGACAGAGAAGACTTAGTGGAACACGTTAGTTGATTTCTGATCTACAGGAGGCTGCCAGGCAGAAGAGGAAACAGGTGTAATTATTTCCCTCCTTGAAGATAGAGCTAAGCTCGGCAGGCTGAAGCCATAGAGGTGGATGGCGTTGAGGAACACAACGTCACTCTCTAACATCTAGACTGGGAGCTGTGAAGGTGGTGGAGGGCTTTAACTTACTGAAGGGCTTTAAGCAGAGGCAGGGGGAAAGCGAGCTCTCAGGGCGGCTGCAGCGGAGGACTGCTGCGGTAAGCTAAGGACTGGCTGGGGCCACCTCTTGAGTTCTGTCTACCTTGAGACTCTCAGACTATAGGTTTACTGATAGAGGATCAGGTTTGGTTTATAAGGGAAAGCTTTTTCTATGATCAATTAAAACCCTTTGAAAGTGAATGAAAGACTCCTTTTCTCTTTCTTAAAAAAGCCTGGATTTGTTGAACCCAAAAGTATCTGGGCATGTCCTGTTATAATGCTGAAGTAGTAACAGGCCAGGAAAAATGGTTCTGACCCTCCATCCTCTCCTTGTATCTCATGCCTGGGTCTTTGTGTGATCTTATAATATGGACCAGATGATATAGATCAACCACATCACCTATGATTTCTGTCTCTAAAAGATACCTTCAAGTCAAAAGTTGTACTTCTAGGAATAACAGACTGCTGATGGCAGTATGATGAGGTATCCCTGCAGCGTAACTCACAGTCAACATGTGTTAAGTGGGAAGGTGAGGAGTTGGCGTGTGTTACTAATGTACTGTACCTTTGGAAATTTAAAGGAGTCTATTTGATGATAAGTGTTTTTCAATATTTGTACAGTAATTTATAAGTATAGAAGAACTTTTACAAATGTGCTTCTATTTGATCATCCCCAACCTCTCCAATATAAGGAACCTTACTGTATTACTGTAGAAGTTTGGAACTTGAAGCTTAGAGAGAGTCCATGTGTCATTCAGGATCACAGAAAAATCTGGTGCAAGGAAACCAAACTCCATATTTTTAAACTCCTGGTCTAGATCTCTTTCTCTTATTTCCTTCTGGCTTAATTTTGTGTTTTCAGGAATGACTTCCATGGGAGGGACAGTTAAAAGGGCCCATGCCAGGAAGCAGAGGGCCTACCTCTTATTCTGCCGCTGATCAGTTGAATTGTCCTTAAAGGCATAAAAATGCCTCAGTTTCCTCATTTGTAAAATAAAAGCCTTGGATATAACAACATTGATATGTTCTATTCTGAAATTCTAGGATCCACAGGTGCAAGTGCAAAGTATGAAGTGGACCCAGATGAATAAGGACATTTAGGAACCAAAGAAAAAGATAATGACCTAGAATAGGTTCAGCGTAAAATTAGTGGGTCATCAGGAACTCCGCCCTTAAAATTCTTCTCCAAAACGGATATCACCACCACATTTCCTGGACCAGCACTTAGCAATCATCCAGAACCCTGTCTCATCCTGTCCTCTGGTCTTGCCTTTCCCACTGCCTCTTTTCAAGCCCTCCCCAGCCCTGCTTGAAACTGGACTATTTGCTCTTCTCTAAACAGTTAGTGTGTTTCTGTGTCTGCACCTTAAATCTCTGTCCCTATTTCCATATTTTTAAATCCTTCCCTCTTTTTTTAATGCCCAGCAAAAAAGACACCTCCTTCAAGAAAGCTTTTAAACCTTCACACTGTTTATTTACCTCCACCTCTCTTTTGTCCTTTAATATTTCTGCTCTCACTACATTATAAATTCCTTGAAGGCAGGAATTCCATCTTACTGATCTTTCTATCTCCTATAGCACCTGGCTCAGTGCCTTTCACAGAGAGGGCACATGTATTGACTATATTATCAACATGATAAACTTAATAATATGAATAAGATTATTTTAATGAATAGATATCTGATAGTAATTATTTCAAGTGTAGCTGTGTCTGGAATCAGAAAATTCCATACCACAAAGTCAGAGATGGTATGGTTCAGTTTCCTTCGTTTGAGGAAAACAAGGTCAAGGGAAGCTGACTACCTGAGTGTGGTCACATTGCTATTTTATTTAGAATAGAAAGTGATGAACAAGATCAGCACTTTCCTAACCACCAGACTGCCTCAGCCGTCATGCTCTGCCTTTTCACTTCCTGTATGAAACAATACTAATTATACAACCGAATAATAGGAACCCAGTGATGAATGGGAACACATTACATTCACTGACCTAATAAACTTGCATATCAGGTAAACCTCGCATTTTCCAATTTCTTTTCAATCCTCATTTTTCTTTTTCTATGTTCCCTCCTCTGGAAAAAAGATGCCTGACAGCACTGAGGATCACCGTGGTGACTATTGTCTTGAGACGGGCAGAGCGCTGGCTTCCCTGAGCCAGGGCTCAACAGCCACTGCACGGGAGGCCACTGAGTATGAGGTTCTCGCATGTGCTCTGAAAGGCTATGTCTCCTCTCATTAAGTGCTGTATGCCTGGCATGCTTCTCACAAATGTATATTGTAGAAATGGAGGAAAGCTGTGTTCTAGGAAACAAACATGTATGGCATGAGTTCATTATGCTATAACAAGAATGTGTAACTTTTCATAGAGTACTTGGCTCATACACATGCTTTGTGCCTGGTACTTGCCATATTGTTTTATAACCAATATCATACCTGTCTCCTCTGTTAGACTGTGAGCTCTCTCAGTGTAGCAAAGAGGGAAGGTGATTAAACAAAGGGTTAAAAGTCACTGGTAAATGGAAGATTAGAAGAATGTAGGGACTGGGTTCTGCAGAAATATAGCTGAGGGTCCAGCTGCTCAGCTGTGTATTGACAAGGGTGGCATGGGGCTAGTTCAGAGTTGAGCTGGCTTTTGAACTGTCTGAAAGAACTCACTAGCCAGACAAGGGAGTGGCAGGCATCGCAAACAGGGTGAAAAGAATATGCAAAGGTGCTAGGAACTGCCCTGCCTGGTTTCAGAAACTGTAATCCCTCGTGGGTAAGGCTAAGTAGAAAGACCTTGAGACCATAAGCCACTTAAGAGACAAAGCTTATCTTCCTTGTAGGGGCACCACCTCTGCCCCTTTTCTCTTCACCCTGCTTGGCCCCGGGCAGATGACTGGTTAGCCAACGATGGGTAAGATTCCTCAAAGGAGGGACAACCTAAGGCAGGCATGGTCATGAAGGGGCCCTCAGGGAAGGACTTGGGGGGCTACAGAAAAAGGGGATGATGGACCCTCACCGCTCAGTTTTGACATAGCCTGAGTCCTTATTCTGTCTGCAAGAAGTCTCCTAATCTCTTGGCTGACTTACTTCCCCTGCCTGACTTAAGCCTGAAACAATGCCAGAGGTGAGTGAGGCCCTGTGCTGGAAAGGGCAGGTTCCCTGGGGGCAATCAGGCCTAAGAAAGAATGCATAAAATTCTATGAAACCTACTTTACTAATACCCTCAATTTAAATGATAAGGGTCCAAGCATGAAGTGAGTTTGTTTCCCAAGGTTTTATGGACCTTTAACTATCTGACCCTGACTAAGAATAAGTCCTCAGAGTTCTTTGAATATTATCTGTTGTTTAATCATTTCTGCCTGACAATGATTGATGAGCTTTACATATACACCCATATTCCTATGCAAATTAAACCCAATAAAAGCCTGGTGAGGCAAAGGTTGGGGCACACTCCTCTTGAGAGGGTGGCTGTGTTGTCCCTTTTCCTCCACGAGACTTCGGTGGTCCGTGTGAATTTGTCTTATCTCATCCACAATGCCAAGCACACTGTGGGCCAGTGTCTGCATCACAAAGACTCAGAAATAAAAGATACCATGTCATATTCAAGGGAACTCTGAGGAGTGAGGAGTAGCAACAGGGCAAGGTGTACTTGGGCAAGTGGTGGGAGACAAAGCTGGTGAGGAAGGTTGGGGGAGAAGGCGAGGGCTTTGTGTGTCCTGCTCTGGAATTTTCACTTGCTCCTAGAAGTGAATGGGAATCACTGGAAGACCTTGATCTAGAAGGCGCATGACGAGATTTGATCTATTGCCCAGGAAAACTCTAATGCTTTGCAGATGAGAAAAATGAGGATTAGAGAACCAAAATGCTGTTTATAAGGCTAATGCTCCTAAAATGGCACTGCTGGAACTCAAATGGAGGGGCTCTCACTAGGACCTCGGCAGCTGTTGTGGACAGAAAGAAATATGCTGGGAGCCTGGCAAGTTCCGGTCTGGATATGAACTATCTATAGTTTCTAATTCCCTCTCTCTCAAATGTAGTGATGAATTATCTTCTCTCCCCTCTCAAAAAGCAAGCAAGCAAGTGAGCCAACAAACAAAAACAGCCTCAACTTTTGAACTCGCAAAGAGAAAATAGCCCTTGGGAGACTTTTGCTCAAGTTTCCTCGATCCCAAGTGACTGTGGAGTGGAGGCATCTCTTGATTCACCGAGTGATTCCAGCACTCGGTTCTCCATTATATTTCTCTTTTTCTCTGCCTGAGATCTCACCTCCTTCAGGTAAATAATGGTCTCTTCTTGAAGTAAACATCACTAGTAAGTTTGCATATTTTTTTTAAAATACACACTCATTTTAATTTTTTTATTTTTAAAAGATTTTATTTATTTTTTAGAGACAGGGGAAGGGAGGGAGAAAGAGGAGAGAAACATCAGTGTGTGGTTGCCTCTCATGAGTCCCCCAATGGAGACCTGACTCGAAACCCAGGCATGTGCCCTGACCAGAAACTGAAAAGACGACCCTCTGGTTTGCAGGCCGGCACTCAGTCCACTGAGATACATCAGCCAGGGCTAAGTTTGTATATGTTTACTCTGGAGGTGCAAACCTTGGATGGGGTGGCAATATCATTTTTGTGGTGCATCCTGGGGGAGAGGTAACTAACTATACATTGGCCTCCCTTTGTTGAAGTGAGGGAGGAGCTAAGGGGGTTCTCAAGTGTGATGTCAGGTCACTGTCTCCTTTTGGAGCTGACTCAGGGAGTCAATAAACTTGGGCAGTGACCACCAAGAATACACACTGGCCCACAGAGAACCTGATTGGCTGCCATATTGGCCAGATAGCAGCTCTGGGAACATACAACAGAGAAAGTACATCCTTAGCAGAAGCACCCATCTTGAATGCCTATATCTTTACATGCAAGATATAAAGCCTGCTGTATAGGGGCCTGCTGTATAAGGGCCTGCTGGCTATAGTAGTGCTCCCTGGGATCAAACCAAACAGCTGCTCCTTTCCATCCGCCCTTAGAGTGGGGAAGGGATGTCCCTGTTCACTTAGGGGCCTTGCCCTCCAAGAGTTCTGTCTGGACCAAAGAGTACATTCATCATTTTATGTTTTAGAAGATAAATAACACTGTGTAATTTGAGTCCTTATTAAAAGTAGAAGATAAAATCTCATACTTGGGACTCCCTGACTCAGTTTTTCTACTTAAGCATTTTAATAATCATGGACCTGGGAACTGATTTGACTTGTGTGAAAGAAGTTTTAGGAGAAAAGAACAATAGAGCCCTCACTTCTTCACATCATGAATTAGAGCTTTTGCACAGTGCTCAAGGTCCTTCTTACACATTACCTGTGAATGGAGGCAGGAACACAACTTTTATAAATTACCCAGTAAAACATAGGGCACTCTTGTAATGTGGGTGATTAATCTACGGGAGCACACGTGCATCAGATGCCCAGACAGCTGAGTGCCTAGTAATGTGGCATGTCCCTTGCAGTAAAAGGATGGCAACACATCTAACCTGTAGGCAGTACGTGGCTTCAGCGGTCCGTCACAGAAGTTTTGCTGATTGGGATCACATTTTCCACCCAGGCTCTCCATCTCTGCTCCAAGCTTAATGTTAAAACTCCTGGAGTTGCTGTCAGGACTCTCAGCACATTTGCTGGCAAAATAGTTGGTCTGATACACTTGAATGGAGGCATTGTGCCTGTATTCCAGGTAGGAGGGCAGAGGGTGCTGCTTTTCTGGCCTCAGCTCATCACTGCCTGGAGGGAGAAAACCCACAGTGAGACTGACTTTCTTGTGACTTCAGGTTTCTTTTCTTTTCTTTTCTTTTCTTTTTCTTTCTTTCCCTCCCTCCCTCCCTCCCTCCCTCCCTTCCTTCCTTCCTTCCTTCCCTCCTTCCTTCCTTCCTTCCATTTCTCTCTTTCCACATTTTATATATTTTCTCTCTCTTTCTTTCAAGATTTTATTTTTTTAGAGAAAAGGGAAGAGAGGGAGAAAGAGAGGGAGACAAACACCCATATGTGAGAGAAACATCAATTGGTTACCTCTCACAGGTTTGCAACTCAGGACCTGAAACCTAGGCCTGTGCCCTGACTGGGAATCGAACCAGTGACCTCTTGGTTTGCAGACCAGCACTCAACCCATTGAGCCACACCAGCCAGGGATCTACCTAGGTTTCTAAAGTTGACTCCTCACTATCTCTGGGCATTCTCAGAGTGCAGAATTTGTGGCCTTGAAGGGTGCTGTGAATAAAATTCACAATAAAATTAATTTTAATTCACTTTTCTAAAATAAATGAAAAATAAATAAAGTGCATATAAACAAAATTATACACAGATATACATAAATACCATCATTTTTCTTGGAAATGAAGTATGTGTGTGAGAGGGTATCACGACTCCAGAAAGTGAAACACTTACTGTGAGTCAACCCACTCAATGAACTCTCTACCTTGCCAATAATCATTGCAGCTAAGCTAATAAGGAAATCCCTATGACCTGGGAAATAGGGAAAAGATAAGAGAAATCAAGTCCAAGGCCACAGCAGTCGCCCCACCAGCACGTTCCACGCGCCACGCCCAGTGTGATTACTGCTCCGGTACAGGACTGTTATCTTGAGTACAGTGTAATCCTGGCTTGAATTTGGCCCCTCACGCAGAACACTTCCCAGAACTCTTCCCCTGTCCACCCAGCCTGCTGTGTGTTTTGGCACTGCAAAGCAGTTTTGATAGAGGCTGGAGGAAAGCATAATTAGGAAGATAAATATTATGGAGGTTGAATACCATTTACAGTGAACTTGGTGAAGTGGTATGGTAGGGGTTCATCCCATCCTGGACTCCTGTTTAACAATATTTGCTCAAAATGAGTGGACCTTGGAAATGTTACTTTGTTGGCAGTAGCTGAAAAGGAATGTAGCCTTCAGGATGAGCATGTTTGCTATAAATGCCATTTATAGGAGATGCACTGTCATCTCAGATCACCGGGGAGCACAGCTCATCTTCACTGACATCAATAATTGAAACCCACTTTGTTTTCTGGGGTATGACTTCTTTTTGGTCACTGCCTTACATCCATGTAGTAAAACATTTTCTTCATTGTAGCCTGCTTAAATCTTAAATCTCTCCACAGTTCAATTTATCTCCAGTGATGAGGTGTGAAGAAATCTGGGATGCACCACTGACCCTTGAAATTATTTAATTAATTATGCATGCCCAGCGTTAGTATGGCTATATAAGATGTAAGAGCACATAGTCTGTTATATACCTAGTGAGACTAAAATACTCTCTAGCTCCAATACTTGGTCAGGTTTAAAGTTTCCCTTTGCCCACAAATGGGTTAAAATAGTCAAGGATGTGTAAGAAGCTCATGTGCAGCACCTTCAACAATTTTGAAAAATATAAGACATGCAAAATATATCAATGGCATTCCAGACACAAACATTTACTTTGCAGAAATAACAGTGGCAAATGCACTTATGGACATGTGTGCACCAAGATACAATGCTGTTGTATTTTGACAAATGTTACTGTATGTAATAATCTCTAAAGATCATACTCAGTGTTTGTGGGGAGTGTTGTTAATAACCTAGTATTTGCCTGATCCATAGGAATTAAGAAGACACTGAATAACTTGAGAATGAAATAACTAGAGAATAAAACATACTATTGAAAATGCAGTAGAGAACGGAGGAATGCTTTTTACGATAATTTTTTTCCTCCCTTAAGCTTTTGAATAATTTTGTGAATTGGTGGGTGGTTTGGGAGCGTGTGACTGGTTGAGTTGTTTCAGACAGGGATGGGGGAAGACAGCTGAAACATATTGCTGCTTATTGGAAGACCCGAAGAGCGGTGGACAGGACTCAATGAGTAGAGAAGGAGATTGAATGAGTCAGTATTCCCAACAGTGCCTGACACATAGTACGGGCTCAATAAGTGATGATTATTGCTATTACTGTTGTGGTGGCTGTAATTATTGTTATTCACCCATTTTATAATTATACCTGGCAGAGAATAGGCTTTATTGCTGAAAGAACCTTTGAGCAGTTTTCTGTTACATCTCCCTGCATCTGGGAGAGATAGAGAGAATGATAGAAAAATTGTTTTGTTTTTTTTTTTGCATTTAAGAACTGTCACAGAAAGATGCTCCACAGTGACCTGTGAGAAAGAAACCCTGGGTCTTACAGTGGAGTGAATTCACTTACCATCGGCCTCTCGCACGACCACTGTGAAGTATTTTATAGCACCATTGGTGTCACTGAACCAGCTGCAGTTGAAAGTAAAGTTGATGGAAGATTTGCTAATTATCACGTCCTTTATATTCACACGGATATGTGGAGGAGGGGGAGGTGGGCCTGGGGAAATAACCAAGAAGGGTCACAGCTCTGCTTTTACATGCGAATAATCAGCAAAATGAAGAGCTCCACTCACCCACATTCATATTCTCTCTCTGTCTCTCCCTCTCCCTCCCCTCACCTCTCCCTCTCATTCTGTGTGTGTGTGATCAAGAAGCCATCCTCCTCTCCTGAAGAGAAGCAGGGCAAGGAAGTGACCTGCCAGTGACACATTACACCTAACGATAGAGGCGGCTCCTCAGCAGGATTTCCTGGACTTGTAGCATCAAATTGCTTAAAAGCTCCATTATGGCTCCAACTGTATCAAGCAAAGTGATGTATTTAAATACTAACTCATTTAGGTACTTTAAGATCTTTTAACTTGTTTGCTGCCCGGGTACTTTACACAGAGAAATGTTTCCATTTCCCAGAGCGTTTCAGGTCCTCTTCTCTAAGTGACACAAGACATGATAATGCGGAAGCGAACAATATACAAGCACGTAGCGGTGAGAGACACGACCGAGGAATGCGCACACTGGGAGTACGCCGTCCGGGACACTTACGGTCTATCATTGTGATAGTGCTGTCTTCCACCACCTCGCTGGTCATGCCAGCTGACTGCACCTTGATGGACACCAGGTATCTCTTATGGGGCACTAGCATCATAATATTGAGCAGAGATTTCTCCTTCTCTAGCTTCCTGGAAAACTCAACTTCTTGAGTGTCCATTTTCCGGCATTCAATGCTATACCCATCAAAGTCGGAATCAGGAGGGATCCAAGAACAGGCAATGGCCGTGGAGTTCTGAGGCCGGCAATGCAGGTTTTGTATCTTGTCTGGCCCTAAAGGAAAGAGAGGAAGGGGCACTTTTAACAACTCTGTGAGACACTGTTTTTCAGCTCCTTTGAGTACAACTGGTTCAGAGATCTAAATAAATAATTCCCAAACTTAATTTGACTTGTTTTCTGAAGAAAAAATTCTCATAGATCTCCAAGGTAATATGTCTGCCTGCCTGCTGGCTTCTATTTTGAGAAATATTAAAAGTCAAAATGCTGTCCCTTTCGAAAATCAACAGGTGCCAACATGACTGGAAACATGAATGCGTATGTGGGCACTGAAATCGAGTGGTGGAAGTCAGAGGGAAGGTAAGGCAGAGGAACTAGAAGTCGAGAGTGCAGCTCAGCCTGCCTGAATCCCAATTCTGTTCAGCAGCTATGCACTCTTGGGCAAGTTACTTAACATATCTGCGCCCCTTCCATGGAGTGGGGAAATTCAGATAACCAATCATCATATGGTTACTGTGATGATTTGACGAGTCGAAACTTGCATGGCCACCTTAGAACAGTGGCTGGTATAGCAATTGCTCAATAAATGCTAGGTTTTAAAATGAGGAAATTAAGAAATGCCATTGCTGACTTGTTACCCTTTGGTCCCTGGCTTCTGCCCATCCCCTTTCCATTTTTTTTGCCTGCTCCCCCCGCCCATGCTCCATGACACCGAAACTGCTTGTGGCTCCCCACGTAGACCACACTGGTCTATGCCCCCTTCTTATGGTCACTCAGCTGCTCCTGTCTGACAGACTGCCTGACCCAGGAAGGACTCAGTGATTGTTAGCTGATCTTATTGGTTGTGAATGATAAAACAATGAGTAAATGATTCAGTCTGAAAGAAAAGCCCTTAAGGTTAAAGTACTGGTTAATGAGAAACTCTGTGGGCTGCCCCAACCAGCCACATGCCTACCATTTATAATTATTTATATATCTATAGAGCTAAATTATACAATTTAAATAAGCAATTTTTTTTTGAATTTTAATTTTAGCACCTGAACCGTTTAAAAAAGAAAAGGTCTGCCCTGGCCAGGAGGATCAGTTGGTTAGAGCATTATCCCAATACACCGAAGTTGCGGGTTCAGTCCCTAATCAGGGCACATACAAGAATCGACCAATGAATGCATCAGTGAGCAGAACAACAAATCAGTGTTTCTTTCACTCTCTCTCTCTAAAACAAAAAAATTCAATCAAGAAATAAAACATTCTCAGTTCCCCAATATGTAAAATCAAAGTTATTCTGGTCTGTGTTATAAATGTGCATTGAGGTCAGGGGTGCTGGGGTGATCTCCCTAAGACCTGCCTTGCTTTTCCCCAGGAATTTCCAAGGAGCTTTCAGACTCTGCAATAGAACTTGAAGGCTAGCTCTAGACCACCTTATTTCATTCCAGGAGTCAAAGGCTTCATAAAGATTAAATGGTAAAAGCCCAACCCATTGTTCTATTGACCACAGCACAGAACACAGCAACAATCCTCAGATGACAACAATCGATGGTGTCAATCCATCAGAAGGGCTCACAAAAGAACTGGCATTTGAGACGAGCAGTAATCATGTCTTTTCAAACATTAACTGCTTGTTAAACTTTTAAACTCCTTTCCAACCAAGTCAGAGCTGAGACCCAATACACCTTCCCTTTCAGCCTTGGAAAAAGTCTTTTAAGACATCCCGTCTAACTCATAATTCTGATGATCCATACAAAAAATAATATGGAAACTTGCTTCCACCTCTTCTCTTAGTTCCTTCTCTCTCCTCCTTTTCACCTCTAAATCCCACCTGCCTTCCAAGACTCAGGTCCCATCCCCATTCACTAAGAAGTGATTCCAACCATGTGCAAGGTGCTCCCCTAGGGACTGTGAACACAGAGAGGTGAATACATTAGCCTTAACCTCTTGAAAGAGAAAAGACTCCAAAACAGCCATAGTATATGGTGGAAAGGAGAATCTACCAGATGAAATGGGGAAAAAAGATGCTGTGTGGTGTGATAGGCACATTTGTGCTGTTGGAGCTAGTGGTGAGCAGGGCTTAACAAAGGCTTTCTGGCAAAGATGACACCTTGCCCAGATATTGGGAAAAGCCTTTTAGGTAGAGAAAACCAAGGGTGGGGCTGGGAGGAATGGGAAGATGGATGATGTAGAACTCCAAGTTACTATTCGTCATGGCTGGAGCTTATTTGTAACTGGCTACTGGAATAATTTTACATGAAAATTACAAATTTCTATTTTGTTTAATCCTTTTATTTTGGGTTTTCTATTGCCCACAGCCAGACCCAACCCTAACAAATGCAATCCTCAAAGTTCTACCAGTCGTTCTTCATACAGTTCAACACCACAACACTCTGCATACTGGTTGCTCTTCTCTTGGGTATGCCCCATTTGGTAAATGCCACTCTGAAACGCTAGTGTCTGGGACTAAACACAATCCTCCAGGCGTGTCTGACCAGCCCAGCCTCTAGTGAGCTCTTAAACTGCGCACTGTGATTCAATCACATATTCCACAATGAGCCACTGAAAACCCACCCTGAGCTTGCTATGAAACAAAAACTCTTAGTTCTTTTTCACATATTTATCTGGACACACACCTGTTTGATCCCCAACTGGTCTTTGGGTACAATATAGATCTCAAATTACAATTGTTATAGTGTTGATGTTCGTTGTTATTCAAAACAACTACTGGCATAAATTTCTAATTTTCAACTAGGTGTTTTATCAACAGCCACTATCTGATCTGAGAAGCTACATTTACCAGGTATTACTGAAAAATAAATATTTGGATTGAGGTGTTTCTTTGAGGTTCGTTCATCAATTCCAAAATGCCTTTAAGAAGAAACTTATATATATTTCATTGTTAAAATATTTTTCTGTTTAGGATTTATTACAATGTGTCCTAACTGATCCCTCTGCTTCTAGCTTGCCCCTTTCAACCTGTTTTTCACACTGTACCCAAAATGACTCTCTAAAGTACAAATCTGATGATGATATTTTGGCCAAAAATCCTTCAGTGGCTCCACTTATTTGAGGATAAAGTTCAAAGTCGTCATCATGGCTCACAAGACATTTTATAACTTGATTCTCCTAATCTGCATCTTCTGTCCTCTGGCCAACTACACTCCTTTCTGTCCCCCTCTCCTTCCTGGTCTTGGAATGTTTTAGTCTCTCTACTTGGAATAGTTTCCACTTCTCCCAACTGTACCTGGTGAATCTACCCTTTCCTTAGGATTTGATTTGAATGTTTCTTCTTCCAGGAAGCTTCCTTTGCATTGGGTCAGATGTCACTACCGTGCCAAATGCTGCCTTCATCACACCCAAAATGTAATTTTTTTGTGATTGTACTTCCCACTTGATTGTGAGCTCGATGAAGGCAGAGATTATTTCTTTATTGTTCACTGTTGTTAGTATTGCATAAATGAACAAATCTATATAGAATTCTGTCTGAATTCAACCTAACCAATTGCATGTTAAAATGTAGATTTAACCCAAACCCTATAGGAATTGGATGTTGTAACACACACTTTCTCCTTGCTCTATCTAAGAACCAAAAGAAGCAAAACATGTCATACTTGTCCTCACGGATCCAGAGATTGGTCTGCTGTAGGTTTTCCAGGAGTCACCACTGACAGTTTTGACACTGAATTGATAAGATCTCCCTGGACGAAGACCGTACACGATGCGTCCTTCTGATTTTCTGTTGCTGTAGGGGTTGAAGACTGTGATCGCATCTCTGGGTAACCACTGCACCTCAAAGTCATCGTAGTCTGTCCAGTCAGGTGGCCCCTTCCAGGTGATGGCCAAGGATGTGTTTGCAACATCAGTAAATGACATAAGACTAGGAGGGCTTGGGGCTATATGTAGGAAAAAGTGAAAAGTCAAGTAATCACTTCTGTGACATAATATATACAAATAAGATAGCTGAGCAACATCAGACATACTTTAAATGCACTGAGGAAGACATAATGTAATACAATCATAAAAGCTTACATTTATAGTGTTTAATATGTATAATACCCCATTTTCAAGTGTTTTATGTATATTTCCTTTAATTTTCATGACCACAGCTTCCTTACCAGGGTGCTGTGGAACATGAGTGTGCCAAGATATTGATTCCATCATATTTTGAGATGTGAGGGCTAAAGCCCACAGAGTGTGTCCATTTTCAGATGGCTTTGGCCATTGACCCCAGCATGGCACACAGATACATTAATGTTATATGTGCGTGCTCAAGAAAAAAAAATTTAGGAAGCACTGCTCTCAACCACACTATGATGATGTATGTAATTGTCCCCATTTTATAAACGAGAAACCTGAGGCTTAGAGATGCTCAATGACCTGCCTAATTTTACTGAAATAAGTAGCAGAGCTAATTTTAACCAAAATCTATTTCCTTTATCCATGGTGCCATTGTGCCTTCCCAAGTTCAGGGGGAAGCACATGGCACATTATTATTGACTTTATTTCTTCTTGTTAAAACCATAGTTAAAATGTGTCTTTGGAAGCTACTTCCCACAAATACTTCACCTTTGGCATCTGGGCTTCCTACCTGTTCGGCTCTCCCCTGTGGCCTGGTTGCTGAGATCGCCACTGTGGGTTACCACGCACAAGGTGTATTTCCTTCCAGGAACAAGGCCGTGAAAACCCCACTCTGTCAGGTCCTTTCCTTTCCAGTTTTCCTTCTTTGTGCCATTGGGATTATAGAGAATCAGCTCATAAAAGTCGAAGTCCCCAGGGGCTGGACTCCAGGTGAACCAGAGACTATCTGTCATGTTCTGATTGGATCCCTTGAGATTACTCACAGAGGCTGGGACTGAAACAGAGGGAAAGCCTTTACTGAAAACAAAACAGAAGCAAAGGCATTTTGGCCAATGGGTGAAAATAGGAGCCCTGTTGGGCATATGGATGAGTAGCTTCTACTGTAGAGTCAGATCTTGCCCACATCCCAGATCACTTAGGTTTAGGGGAATGTGGCCTAGAGACGTGGTGCAAATGAAAATGAAACAAAACACAAGAGGTGGTAGCTTTGATATGCTTGCCACATGTACTCTAATGAACATATAAAATGAAATCTTCAGAAATGATTGATTAAGCCTGGTCAAATAGCTCATATCTTCCCTCATGAGAGGCCCTAAACGTGTTCACAAAAGGCTCCAGCCCCATGTGGTCAGGCGCACCCCACTGGTGGCCCCCACACCGTAACATCCCTCTCTGGGGCTCTTCACTTCCTCTCCAGCTTTTAGGTTCTCAGTTCTTGCATGCTCTTTCTTACCAAGATCTTTACTAACAGTCACTTCCATCTTTACACAAATTGGTTGGTTACACTGGCTTCTGTCCAGTGAGTATTTGAGCATCACCATTCTTGGAAGAGTGAAGACTGTTGTCCCTTGTTGGAGGGACTTTTAACATTAATGAGCAGATAAGAGAAAATGTGCTGAGCGCAGCCTGCCCCAGAAATGGTAACAGTAGGCCAGTCTATTTGTGCTTTGGGCTTATCTGTTGCTCCTTTCCATTCCCTTCAAAAGACAAACTGAGGACTTCCATCAGGTGCCTGGAATGTGCTCTTCTCATGGCTCCCCTTGGGTTTCAGCTGAAATGCCCTCTCTGTCTAATGTAGTTTCCTTTCCTGCAAAGTTGCTCCCTGTCACAACGTACTGTTTATTTCCTTCATAGACTCTAAGGTGTTCCAAAGTCACCTCTCTTTAAAATCTGCTGTTCTTTGCCCCCTCTCCTTCCATGATTGCAGAGCTCCGTGAGGTCAGGGGCACAGTCTGTTCACTGTCATATTCCAGCTGTGAGCCCAGTGCCTGGGAGCACAAGAGTGCTCCTGCCCCTCACTCAAAAATTATCTCCAGTGAAAAAAAAATGAATAGAAAAATGAGATAATGGGCTTAGGTTATGGAAGAAAAGTAGATCCAGTTTATTTGCAGTCCAGAGCAATGTTTCTCCTTCTTGTTTTCCGAGAATTCTTGGTGTTCGTTTCATCCAGTGCTGCGGTTTTGATTCACAGCAGTCTGCTTCTTGATTCCACTTGTAGTTGCCTTTCCCCAGACCTGCCCTCCAGTCCATCTACTTCTTGTAGAGAGAATAAGGGCACGGCTTGAATTGAGCCACAGTGGTTTACAACCCTTTTGCAAGTAGAGGAGCCAGATTCATTTCTTTCATCAAACCCTGTGGGGTAAACAAGTGGAGGCAACAGAGCAGAAGCCAGCGCAAAAACTATTTTGATGTATAATCAAACATCTAATCTAGGGTCAGAAGGCCTGAAGGTCACAAATTTCATATAAAGCTATATCCTGGATAGAATAGGAAACTAAGGACAAATCAAGGAAAAGCCCGTGACTATTGTGACAATTTCCCTGCTATTCATTAATGCTTGGGCTCCAGTCTTACCTGTTCTACCAAATATGAACGACTCATTAGACAGCTCCCCGCTGTGAGTTACAATCACCAGTTTGTACATTCGGCCTTGCAGTAAGTTCTGGAAAGAAAAGCTCTGGACTTGTGGGTCAACCTGAGCTCTCTCCCGCAGAGTTCGGTCTGGGTTGTACAGAAAGATGTTGTACCAGTTGAGCTCTCCCTCTGACGAGGTCCAGCTGAAGGACAGCTGTCTGGTGGAGTTCTCTGTTATCTGCAGATTGGTGACCGCTGCTGGGACTGGAAAAGTCAAGGAGCAAGAGGGTGAGGTTGAGTTCCGGCATGTCCCTGACAAGGCCTAGGGTGATGCTACGCCTGCATGGACTCACTCAAATGGCAGCTCAAAACACATGGTCCCTAAAACCGATGAACGAAGTAGACACAGAGGCATGGACACATGGAACAGACTGACAGTTGTCAGATGGGAGTGGGGAGGGGACTGGAGGAAAGAAGGTGAAGGGATTGGCCAAAGAACATATATGCACAACCCATAGACACAGACAAGACTGTGGTGATGGCCAGAGGGAAGGGGGTCTGGGTGGAGGTAGGCAAAAAGGAAAATGGGGACTTCTCTGATAGTGTCAACAATAAAAACACAGGTAAAGAAACACATGGTCTTTTCCTTTCAAAAACATCAGCTTCATGGAGACCCTAAAGCAAAAAAACCTAATTATTGATTCGGAAACTGTTCATTTAAAAAACCAAAACCACATAGCATAATACTCTCTGGAACTCAATCAACAAAAAAAAAACAAGTAAGAAAAATAGAATCAGAGACATGGAAATAAAGAACAAACTGACAGTGACCAGAAGGAGATCAAGGGGGAAAGAAGGGGGAGGGTCAAGTCAAGGAACATGTATCATAGATCCCTGGACAAAGACAAGGGGGTGGGGAGGACTGAATGTGGGAGAGGGGGGTGGGCAGGGCAGAGCAGGGGAGAGCAATAGAGGAAAAATGGAGACAACTGTAATTGAACAACAATAAAAAAGTTAAAAAAATTAAAAAACAAACCCACAAAAGAACAAGGGAAACCAGTAATAAGAAAGTACCTTCAAAGATATTTTGCGGGGTACATATGACAAATGCTAAATCTAACCTACGTGACTAAATGTTTTTCTGACTTTAAGAGCTATATTAGAGATCAAAATCTATCTCTGAATGCCACCTGAGAGTAAATGACCATCAGAGGGAAGAAGAGAGTGGGTGGGAAAGAGGGGAAACTAGATTCAGGGATATGAGAAAGAGAAGCAAGATGAAAGCTAAAAACACATTTAAAAAGTTTACATTAGGATTTTGCAACCCCATTGGCCATTAGTGCTACCTGTTGGCAAAGTAATCAGATGCCAAGAGAAATCAGCTGCTTCAAAACTGTCGGTGTAGACACTTCCTGATTCCACAGAAGCCTTACGATGCAGGTGGAAACAGAACAGGGCATCTGTCTCAGTCTCCCCTGAGTTCTTTTCCTCCACTGCAAACATTTTCTCAGGCCATTTTCCTTTCTCTCTATCCTTATGCCAGGCCTTAAAAGTTGGTATTTTCCATGGTTCCATCCTTTGTCCCTTCATATCTTATAACACTAGCTGAGCAATCAATCTCACTCACTTTATGAATTACTGTGGCCTGATGTTCATGTTATTCCCATCCCACAAATCCATATGTTGAAACCTAACCCCCAAGACAACGGTATAAGGAGGCAGAGCCTTTGGGAGGTGATTAGGTCATGAAGGTGAAGCCCGCATGAACAGGATTAGTGCCCCAAGAAGAGGCTCCAGAGAGCAAAGTTCTCTCTTTCTTCCACCATGTGAGGACATGATGAGAAGGCACCGTCTATGAACCAGAAAATGGCCCTCACCTTGTATGTTACATGTGGCCTTACACGTATGTAATATATTACATCTGTATTATATGTAACATATATTACAGATACAGTATATGTATACATAATGTATGTATAAATACATATATTTATCCTCATCTGAGGGCAATTTTTCACTGCTTTTTAGAGAGGAAGGGAGAGAGGAAAAACATCAGTGTGAGAGAGAAACATTGATTTGCTGCTTTGAGATGGGAGCTTATCCTGGATTGTCTGGGTGGTGACCGATGTAATCACAAAAGCATAAGATGGATGAGGGTGGCAGAAGAGTAAAGGAGATACAGAGACAGACACAGGGGCTGGCGTACTCCCGTTGCTGGATGGAAGCCGCAAGCCTAGGAACCTCAGTGACCTCCAGAAACAGATAAGGGCAGAGAACAGATTCTCAACCTAAACTAAAGTCTCCAGATAAAACACCACCCCACCTTGATTTTAGCCCCCTAGCACCCATTTTCAGATTTCAACCTCCAGAACTGTGAGATAATAAATGGATGTTGGTTTAAGATGCTACATTTGTGGTAATTTATTATAACAGCCATAGGGAACCAATAGAGCCAGTTTTGATGAACAATCTAAATTGGACGCCAGTGGGCTGAAGGTCGTGCCGATAGGCCAACTGACATGGAAGTGGTGGATCATGGAGAATGTTCCTCCTGTGTCCAGAAATACATGTAATCTCCCGATTTTGCTTCATCTCTCTCAAGGAATGTTCTCAAGGAACAGCAGATGAGGAGACACCTCATACAAAACAGTAAGTAGGCTTGTGTGAATTACCTGTTCGGCCTTCAGTTTGGGCTTCTTTGCTAAAGAGGCCTCCGCTGACGGTTAGGATCTGTATCTTGTATTTCTTTCCTGGAGTTAGGTCTTCAAATTTGTGCTGCTTAGTCAAGGCTGGCTTTGATGTGTTACTCAGAAGGATCCCATTTTCATTTAGAAGCAGGATATCATATCTTTCTGCCACACCAACTGCTTTTTGCCAATTTACTACTAAGGAATGGCTACTGTATACATTGTCTGCAGTTATCCCCTGGACAGAGGCTGGGACTGCAAGGAAAGAGAAGAAGCAGGTCCCATCATTGACAGCAGAGCAACCAGTTGAAAGAAACTCTGCTGAAGCAGCTGCAGATAGAAGAGCTCGCCTCATTATCACACGGGCACTCTCTGTGCACTCTTAGGAGAAAACAGTCCTTGTCCTAAATTACTTACTTACAGAATTGCTTTGATTCTCCATTTTTTCCCCTCTGAATTTAGACAGGATCTTGAAGTCAAATAAGTAAAAAAAATGTAGAAGTGACACTGATAAATGTACAGATTGATACTTACGTATTTTTTGAGACAGTGGAAACAATGGATATAGTTCGGAGTACAGAGTCACTCATTTGGACTTTCATTCCCAAACTAACTCGAATCAAAGCTTTGACCTAAGCAGTATATACAACAGTGCTGTACTATGGCTCCTGATGTGAAAGGCAAAATAGTATTGCTTATTAACAATATTGTCTGTCCTAGGCTCATATTTTTTCTCATTCTACATAACCTCCTTAGGAGAACTCATCTATTCCCATGGTTTGAATTTTACCCACGTGGTGATTGGTGGCTCTCAAATTTGAACTTTCAGTTCAGATCTGTTTCTAGTTTTTGTAAATGACACGTCTCTCTGGCTGTTCCACAGGTGCCGACTCCCAAGATGACAGAATTGGACTCCTCATCTCCCTCCCATAATTTGCTTACTGTCCTTTGTTTTTCTCTCTTGGTCTAAGTCAGAAACTTGGTTTTTCATTCTAACCCATCTAAGTATAATTAAAATTAAGTCTTATCATTTCTCTCTCCCAAGTCTGATTTCTTTCGGATCTCTCCGCTTCTCTCCATCTCTACTACCACTAGCTCTAGACAATATCCTCTCTCTCATACACTACTGCAAGTCTCTTGACCAGCACCCTTGACTCCTCGCCTCTCCGTTTCAAACTGCACATTGTACGTGGAGGATTCTCATAGTAGGCCCATGCTGATGACCCTTCAGTGTCTCTTCATAATTCTAAACACCTTAACAAGGCATACAAGGCCCTTCACGATTTGATCCATCTGCTTGCTTGGCCACACGGCTCACACTCTATTCTAGCATGCTAAGGGGTATGTGGGTCCTCAGTGTGCCAAGCTGTCATCCTGAGGCCTTTGCTTTTTTCTGCTAGAACTAAATCAATATATGTTTTATCAGCATGACTTCTTAGTGTCTGTTCAAATGTTACTTTCTCCTGGAACCCTTTCCCGACTCTTTCTGTCCGCTCCTATAGCACCCCATGATCATTTTTATTTACCATATTATACCATAATCTCTTTTTTACTTCTCTGTCTCCTTCATTAGATTATAAGTTTATTGAGGTCAGGGATGTATTCTTGCTATTGAATTCTCATTTTCGAATGCAGTAAGGCTTGCCTGAGTGTGGTTGGTAGGGTAATAATATGGGTGTAATAATTTATAGTGTTAATTTGGACATTTCACCTAAAACGTCATATGGTGTGCCTGAGTGTGATTTTGTTATGTTAGAATTATAAGAATTTGTTATGTTAGAATTATAAGAATTTGTTACATTAGAATCATAAGAATTACATACTTATGATTTTGTAATAAATGGGGGCATTATTTGTGCTGGACCCTGTATATATATGAAATGAAGACATAGTAGGGCCCAGGCCTCACAATAAGTAAATGGTAATGAGAATGGAAGAAATCTAATAAGTATTGTGTTACTGTAGAGAGAGCATGAGGTTTGGAGCCAGACAATCTAGATTTAAATTATAGCTCTAGATCTTAATATATGTTTCCTAAATAATGTTTCATGAACTTTCAGAGTCTTACTTTCTTCATCTGTAAGATAATGATGTAATCCTAGTTGTAGTGTGACTAGAGATAATTTTAAATGCCTAACAATGTAGCAGGTGCCTGTAGATTATTTTTGTTTTGAAAGTAATGTATTAATAGTGATACTAATATAAATTAATGGGTATATTATTCATTCATTTATTACTTGGTCTTTAACTATCACAGGTGAAGTAGACGGCATAAGTATATATGTTTTTCTTAATAAAGAATTTTGAGGAAGGGGTGAACTTTTGAAAAATGCATATTTGTTGAAGTCTGTTTGTCAAAATTTTAAATCTTTTAGCAAGTTAAACATTTATTAATTGGTTCCTAATTACCTTTCTTTGTTTTGAAAATTTCTACTAAGAAAGAAAAATGCAAATAAAAAATATGAGAAAGGCTCTTGAAACCACATTGAATTGTACAAATTTAGCTGGTTTGAATTGGATATTTTTGATTTGTGATAGCTAAGCCCATTCATCATCCCATTCTGGAGAACAACTAGTCCTTCTCCAGGTGGACTTACCCGTCCGCCCGAGTGCATCTATCTGGTTCTGCAGGGACCCGCTGACCGAGGAGATCACAATCTGGTACTCTTCCCCAGCCTCCAGCCTGTGGAACGTGTGCTTAGAGACGTCCTTGGAGATAGTCTGAGAGTCAACCTTTTGATTTTGCCTGAATGCTGACACTATGTAGGAGTCAACATCTCCCCCTCCAGGAGTCCAGTTCACCGTCAGGCTATCTGTTGCCCCATTGGGAGAAATGTGAATATTTTTGACTGTGCTAGGAACTAAAAGAGAAAATAAATTTAGAAGTCATCACTTAGAGAATGAACCGTGCAAATTTCAACCAAAGTTTTTGTGCTTCTTATGTTTTGGCATCTACTGAAAGCATACACATAGAAAATATTGGTAACAATTTACCATTTTTCTCTAACTCTTCTGCCTGAACTGCAGTTAGTAGGGGAAGTTTGAGGGACATCACAGCCAGTGAGTAGAAGTGAACAATGCCAGTGATAGAGAGAGAGGCTGGTTAGATTGCCTCAGTCCAAGTCTTGGTTTTCTCATTTATTGGCTGTGGGGCTATAGGCAAATTCCTTAACCTCTGTGAGTTTGTTTTGCCATCAGAAAAATGGTAATGATAATAATAGTAACCAGCCCATAGAGTTCTGAGAATTGAACAAAATGTATGTGTGAAGTGCTTTGCCGTGAGTCTGGTACATGGTAAACTGTTAATAAACATTAACTATTATAGTGACACTACTAACAGAGTTCCAGTGAAGTGATACCCAACTGACAGAGATATTTATACTTAATCTGTGTCCTTTACAAGCACCAATCATTCACATCATTTCAATACTATTTCTCAGTAAAGCTTTTCCTTTCTTCTTTTTATTTCCTGTACATCATACTTCTGCTCATCCAGTTTGGACAACAGTGTTGTCACCAACAAGATAACTTTCTCCCCTTCTTGCCATCTTCCCTTTATACTTCCAAGTCAACACCTGGCTACCCAACCTGCTAAATACCATTGACCCTTGAACAAGGTGGGGTTAGCGCACTGCCACACCCCCTCCTCTGTGCCATTGAAATTGTTCATATAACTTTTGACTTCCCCAAAACTTAACTGTTAGTAGCCTACTACTGATCAGAGAAGCCTTACCAATAACATAAATAATTGATTGACTCATACTTTGTGTGTTTTATGTATTATATGCTATATTATTACAATAAAGTAAGTTAGATGAAAAATGTCAGGTTCTGGACAAGATGGAAGCATAGGTAGAAACCCTTCGCTTCCTTGCACAACCAAAAGGAGGATAACAACCAATCTAAAATCAATAAACAACAAGAAGTGCCAGAAATTCAAACTGCATGGAACTCTGACAACTAAGGAATTCAAGAAACAGTCAACCAGACCAACCAGACTGGTAAGATGGGTAAACAGAGAGAACCCTCGGCAAGGTGGGGGGCCATATGGGTGGGGGTGACTGAACGGGAAACTGAGACTCAGAGCTGACTGTGGACTATGGTGGTTGCCATGGTGGGAGAAACTCCCAGTCTCAAACAGAGTTTGTTAGAAAGTGGGTCTAGAGCCAAGCAGGTGAGCTGCATTGTTCCCTCTCTGGCCCCTCCCCCATAGGCAGCACCACAGTGCATCAAGGAGGGCTGCCCTGCCCAGGTGAACACCTAAGGCCCCACCCCCTTACAACTTAACAGGTGCACCAAGACAAAGAAATATGGCCCAAATGAAAGAACAGAGTAAAACTTCAGAAAGAGGACTAAGTGAGGAGTAGCTCGCCAACCTATCTGATGGAGATATTAAAGCCCTGGTAATTAAAATGCTCACCGAACTAATTGAGCTTGGTTGAAAAATGAAAGAACAAATGAAAGATACCCAAAGTAAAATAAAGTAAAATATTCAGGGAACCAATAGTGACAGGGAGGAAACCAGGACTCAGATCAACAATATGGAACAAAAGGAAGAAATAAACATTCAACCAGAACAGAATGAAGAATTCAAAAAAATGAAAAGAAACTTAGGAACCTCTGGGACAACTTTAAACACTCCAATATCCAAATCATAGGGGTGCCAGAAGAAGAATAAGAGCAAGAAATTGAAAACTTATTTGAACAAACAATTAAAGAAAACTTCCCTAATCTGGCAAAGGAAAGAGACTTCCAGGAAGTCCAGGAAGCTCAGAGAGTCCCAAAGAAAATGGACCCAAGAAAGCACATGCTAAGGCACCTCATAATTACATTACCCAAGATTAAAAATAAGGAATCTTAAAAGCAGCAAAAGAAAAGGAGACAGTTACCTACAAATGAGTTCCCATTGGACTACCAGCTGATTTCTCTAAAGAAACCTTATAGGCAAGAAGTATTTGAAGTCATGAAAGGCAAGGACCTACATCCAAGATTACTCTATTCAGCAAAACTATCATTTCAAATGGAAGGGCAGATAAAGTGCTTCCCAGATAAGGTCAAGTTAAAGGAGTTCATAATCACCAAACCCTTATTGTATGGAATGTTAAAGGGACTTATCTAAGAAATTGAAGAAGATCAAAACTATGAACAGTGAAATGACAACAAACTCAAAACTATCAACAAGTGAACCTAAAAGAAAAGAAAACCAATGAAAACAAAAACTGAGCAAACAACTAGAACAGGAACAGGATCTGAGAAATGGAGATCACCTGCAGGGTTTTCAGTGGGGTGGTGGAGGGGAGGAATGGGGGGGAGTACAGAGAAGAAGAATAATAATTAGGAGGCATAAAATAGATGGGGAGAGATAAAAATGGTATAGGAAACAGAGAACTCAAAGAACTTATATGTACAACCCATGGACATGAACCAAGTGGGGGGGATGCTGGAGAGTTGGGGGTGCAGGGTGGAGGGGGTAAAGGGGGAAAAATTGGGAAAACTGCAGTAGCATAATCAATAAAATATACTTAAAAATGTCATTAAGAAGATCATAATGAAAGGAAAATACATTTACAGTACAGTACAGTATTTATCGATGTAGTAAGTTTATGCCATCTCTTTATAAGATGAATTGTCTTTCTGTCAGCATCTACATCAATATTGTTTTATATGATACAAAATGCTATAGATGTTATATGTGCTACTAACAATAGATATCAAATACAAAAAAATGTGAGAAAATTTATTTTTACTTACAAGTGTAATAATTCATGCATTAATTAATGAAGAAGCAGAAATATAATCATTTTATGGTAGCCTAGTATAATAGATATGATTGATTCATGGTAATAAAACATCACCCAAAAGTTTCTAATATATTTATTGAAAAAAGTCTGCATATAAGTGGACCCACACAGTTCAAACCTGTGCTCCTGTTCAAGGGCTACCTGCACACCACACTAACTAGTCGGGGTCGAGAACCATGTTTCCAATTACCTGTGAAGCCCTCGATGAATGCTGACTGCTGCACGTCTCCACTGATCGTCAACACGAGAATCTTGTACTGGCGCCCTGGTGTTAGCGAGGTGAATTGATACCCGGTGGCATTATTTACAAGGTGAATAGAAGGAAATACTTTCATGTCATTGTAAAGCAGTTGAATCTCATACTGGTCAACATCCCCATCAGCTTGAGACCAAGTCACCTGAAGGTCTTCAGTGCTCCTATCCCGCAGTGTTAGGTCCTTAACAGGCTCTGGGACTGGAAAGGGATATTAGAAGACACATCAGGAAGGGGCCTGATCACAGTTTACCTACACAATAATTTGTAAATCACATGCAAGGAACTGGCAAACATCTCCTTTCCCCAGATAAACCACTTGAATTACTTCGTGCATAATGGAACAATAAAAATGGAAAGCAATTGTTAATATTGTTAAAATTGTAATTTTTTTCCTGACATAAATCTTATATGCTAAATGTTGGTAGAATCTAATTATCAAATGAGTTATGATTTCAATTACAAGATAAAACAGAAAGTCCAGAACTTTAAATGTCACAATGCAGGAGGACAGGGAAGAAAAAGGAACATATAGCCTTTTGGTGTGTTCACTATACTTACTTTTATCTCCCAATAAATATTCCATAATTATAGGCCATGGCTTGGCTAAATGATGTTAGCTCTGAGTGAGACTTACTGGGAATGTAATTTACTGATAACTAAGTAGAGAAAATTCAAGGTTCAGATAAATTATTTACTTGATGACCTACAAGTCCCAACCGAACATCAAATTTGGCTATATCTTTCCACTTACTCGTTCTCCCATTCCCTTGTTCGCTGGCTTCATACTGTCCACTTTTTGTACTAACAGTGACACTGTACAACCGTCCAGGGACTAGCTGAACAAATACACACTCATTTTCGGACTTGGGAATGCTTTTGGTTTGAGTGAAGTTGTTTTTGTTCTTAATGGTGACTTTGTAGTGATCGAAGTCTCCGGTGGCATGCACCCAGGATACCTTTAAATAGTCGCTCCGGGCCGAGTTGCTAATACTGACCCCCTGGACCTTGTTGGGCACTGAAAAAGAGAGCAGAGAACAGCTAGAGACTCTTGGTGAGCATCTGGTCACAGATGACATCCTGGGACAGTAAGAAGTGAGTAGATTTTAATTGTGTGCATTAAAAAGAAAAATCTTAGACTTTAGGTCATATGTTTTTGAAAAGGAAAGGTTTTTATACTAATTGGCGTGATTAAATGGATTTTTTAACACAACCTGATGAATTGATTCTAATTCTGTTGTTGGCCTACACAAAATATCATGTACAAAATGGAACATTAAACATGATACCTGATGATTAATATGAATGATGGTGATGTTAATAGTTCCAGCATAACATGGTGATGCAAGACATGACAAAAAGTCACCAAGAAGAGGATAAACAATTCAAAAAGAAAGTGGAAGAAGAGAAAACACACATGGTTAATTAATACATGAAGAGATGTCCAATATCATTGGAGATCACGGAAATGGAAGCCAGGGGCCTTCGCAAAACACCATTTAGCATACATTTGATTGGCAGCATTTAAAAACCTGATAAAACCAAGTGTGAGAGAGAATGCCCACCCACAGGAGGTTACATGAATGAGCTGGTATATAGCAGTCGTAATTAATTTCCTCTTAGCTCAAAACTCAAAAATATGGATTTCTTGGACTGAACAGTAAAACACAAAATAGTGATGAATCTTATCGATATATTATTAAGTGAAAAAAGTCTAAGTCCCAAAAGATTATATACTGCATAAAAGATACCTTTTTTATAATGTTAAAAGAACTAAAAATTTTAAAGCCCATAATTTTAGGACAACAAATAATACAATATACAAGGTGGGAGGCAAGAGAGATAAAACGATAAAAATTAAAGTCAAGTTGATGGCTGCCTTGGCATGGATCAATAGGGTGGAAACCATGTGATTTGACATAGATTATTGTCAAGTTCTTAGCTTTTATTTTGGATAGTGGTTTCTCAGGTACATGTTAAATTATTAAAAATGGCTGTCTAAATTAAATTAAATTAAATTAAATTAAATTAAATTAAATGCCTAAAAATAAAAGTAGCAACTGATGCATGGTTTCCTGGCCCAAGAATAATGATTAATCCTATTTTGTTTGCTTATATATTTATGAGGGGAACCTGAAATACATACACAAACAAAAATCCTGTGTACCTATGGCTTTTTTGTCCATTGATAAATCAGTAAGTGCTTCTGAACAGGAACACTTTAAAATAAGACAACTCTGTATTTTGAGCATAATATTAAGGATATTCTAATTTTTATGTGGGGCTGTATTTTAATTCAACAGTAGGCCATAGATCCATTACTATTTAGCAAAAAGTGGGTATTACAAATATATGAGTAAGAAGCATTGGAAAGAGACATGAACTCAGGTTCAAGATACTAAACTTGTATCCCAATGCTGGCATGTCTCTGAAGGCTGTGTGGCCTCGGCATGTGTTTGGTAAATCAGGGACTTCTCCTCTGGCCACATGCCAAACCTTTGTCCAGGTCTTCTCTTTCACTTGCCCCCAAAGCATGAAATAACAATATTTTGGCATCTAAGAAATGTCAGTATTTTGGTGTCTAAGCTACATTTTTCATGATGTTTCTCATACCTACAAGTTGCACTACTATCCTTTGTTGGCTTATGTGTGCTGGTTAGATTTTGAATTGGAATAAATCTCACCACAGGTATGGAGCAAGGACAGGTATGCCTTCTTCAAGATATTTACCTGGAACCAACTACAGTGTTGCCAGAACTTAGTAATCACAGATTTAAGGAATAGAAATTCTGAAGTGACATTTTCATGGGGTAAGAAGGTCAATGATGCAAGCAATTTACTGAAGGCAAAGCAACTATTATAGAAAGAAACACCAGGCTGAATACCATGTGAAGTCAATAAGGGGCTCCCCAGGTGGGACTGGAGGTAATTTGTAAGACTTGCCTTGCTGCGTGGTGAGATGATGTGACACAGAATTAGAAATATTGATATTTTCACCCAAAATGTAGAACAAGATCATTAGAAAAGAAAAAGGGCAATGAGACAATCAGCCCAAATCAACAAGATGATAACTCAGACATGACTCTCCAGTTAAACTGATTTATCAGGGGTAATGGTTTGCCTTGGCTAGTCATGCACCAAATCCAAGTTCATGTTGGTGAAGAGTCACAAGAGTGCTTTGAAAAAAGGATCACTTTTCTTGCACTTAGAAACAAAATTAGCAAAAGGTCTTACAATGTGAAGGTCATGTTGATAGGAAACATTTGTGAGTTGACACCAAGGAGTTAGTAGCTGACATACCCTGTAGTTTCTGGTGATCTTTAGGTTTCACCTTAATCAACATAAGACACTGACATAAGGCTGCCTTGCAAATGGAAATCTGCTTTTCAGGTTTAAGTCATTATTGTGATTATCAGTATAATTAGACTTTAAATAATTTGAGGGTAGGGGATATCTTTATACCGTTGACTAGTGCTTTAAGAGATAGCAACATGTAATGGAAATAGCATTGAACTTGACTACTGGTCAGCCATGTGACCATGGAGAAGCCAGTTTCCCTGGGACTTTTATCTCCAAATGAGATGAAATTAGGCTATTCTTAAAGCACTTTCAGTGCTGGCATGAGGTAACAATGTAAATCAGTGGTTCTTGAACCTTTCCGAGGTCACAGAAACTATGAGAATCTGATAAAAACCATGCACTCTGTGTCCCCCTGCTCCCCCAAGGTACATATTTCCCTACCCCAACAGCTTCAGGCACCATTTCCAGGATTACTGCAATCTTAAAGTCGGCCCAGGGAGCACCAGGGGAAAACCTCTGATCCCCCTACGTGATTTCTGATTCACTAGAGACTTACTGAGTGCCCACTACGTTCAGATCTTCATGGAAAAACTGACATTTTTTCAGTGTAAATATCAACCCATAGCTCAGCTGGAAAGATTTGACAAAATACCAATGTCAACTGTAAGCAGAAATCTCAGATGTAAACCCCAGGAAACAAAAGTATTTTGGGGAAATGCTAGCTGTCTAAATTTAGTTCTTTCTAGCACAGCAGACCTGGCATCCTTCGTCTTTGCTAAGGTTTTTGTTCTTAGTCCCAGAACTACAAAGGTTCACATTTCCACCTTGCGTGAGAAAGGATGAACAGTGGTCACGACCCACAGACATATCAGGAAGCATTTCAGGGTGAAGAACTTAATGGGCTCCGGAGTCACTCAGACCTGGGTTTATATCTTGGATTTGAAATGTACTGGCTATTCAACAAGTTACTGTAAACAGTGGCAAGTTACTTAACGTTGAATCTTGCTTTCCTGATCTCTAAGATGGGAATAAGGAGAGAAACTACCTCAATAGGATGTTTTTAGGACTTAAGGGTTAAGGTAGTTAACATACGTAAAGCCAGGGTCTAGCAACCAAAAAGTACTCCTTAGACCACAGGCAGCAAACACAGGGCCCACAGCTGAATCCAGCCCTCTGCCTTGTTTTATCCAGCCTGGCACCTGGTTTCTACCCTGGGGCAGCGCCGAGCTCTCGCTTAACTGTTAAGGAGTAAGTTACATTTATACAGTCCTAAAGTTACATTTGGCCCTTTGAAGGCAACCACGAAGCTGATGTGGCCCCCGGTGAAAATGAGTTTGATACCCATGCCCTACACAGACATACTTGTTACTATGTTTGAATATAATATGAATTCTAGTCATGAAAGTGGTGCTCATCATATACTGAAGATAACATCTGTTCACATAAGGAAGGGGTTTCTTAGGTCAAATTTGAAGACCCCGTTACAGTTTTGTGACCCCAGTGGCCTCTAATCCAAGCATTACAGAAATACTGCAGATCTAAGGTGGCTGAGCCACACAGTGAGCGGGCGCTACAAAGCCCGTACCTCCTTGCAGGTTTACCTGTCCGATCTTGGCTGAGGGAATGATTTTCATACTTGCCACTCCTTGTAGTTACAGTCACATCATAGAGGCGGCCTGGGGTGAGGGAGCTGAAGGAGCATTCGCTGACAGACTTGGCAATGACAAGGGACTGAACCACTTTGCTGTTATGAGAGAGTGTCACTAGGTAGTTATCCACATCCCCAGGAGCCGGCAGCCAGGATACACTGAGATAGTCAGTACGGCCAGAATTGTTTACTGTTACTCCACTCACACTGGAAGGCACTGTGATGTTAAAAAGGGAGAGAATTTTTTTTTAAAGCACCATCAAAAGTTTGAGTCATTTATTTACAGTGAGCAACAACAGTGTGGACTCAGGAGGTCTAATCTGATCACCTTTGTGGTGAAGGGGAAGCTTTGGAAGCTGAGTGCTCACTTCAGAAGGCTAACCAGAACACACACACCTGGGTGACTTTCTGATGTCTCATAAATGCAAGGGGGCCCCTACTGCATTTTTATGGTGTAGCTGTTCATAAGGTATCTTAAGTGGAGGCATTTTTATGTAAATGTGTCAGGAAGTTTCCTAGGTAGGAGAGGGAGCAAGCATTCTAACAATCCAAATGGATGGGTTTGAACCAAACTCATTGATAAAGATGTTTGAGCAAAAGAGTGAAGAATGCAATAGCTTTTCTAAAAAGCTTAGATTTGGGAATAGTTTTGATCTTCTTGTGATGAAGTTATTTATTCCTGGGAGTTTACCTAACAACCAGAAGTGTTTTTTTTTTGTTTTGTTTTTGTTTTTTTTTCTCTTTGCAAAGCATTTCCTGCCCTCTAGTGGCAAAAATAAACCTAAAAGTCTATCCTGGAAGCTGCAAATCTGGTAATTGGTCCAAGTGTAGTCAGGAAGAGCTACTGTGGTGAAAATGGCCTTTCTGATGTCAGCTGTGACCACTGGCTTATTTTAATTGGAATTTAGTGCCACAGATATTCACAGAGAGCCTATGACTCGCTATGCATGCAAAATGGAAAAGATGCAGATATTTTTAAGGAGCGCCCTGGCTAGAAGTAGCTTGTAAATTAATCAAGGTGGTGTTGAGGAATAGTTGTACCATGTATCAGAAATATGTACACAGTAAATAGCACTGCCAGTAGTGACTATCAGAATAATAAAATCCTATAGTATATACAAGCTGCATGACTGTTTTCATCATTAGTAAACTAACTTCAGCTAAAGAGTTTCCATATATTCGTCAATATCAGCACATCATGCTTAATGGATGAGATTTGGCATGAAATGACTATCACGTCATCAACAGAGTTTTTTCTAGGAGCTGTGTCACGCTGTTGGAGGGTTTAGAAAATTCAGAATTTATTGTCTTCTACACTCATCCACCTCCCAATTTCCATTCCTGGGAGAGCAACACATACCTTCTGGGTGGTACTGAAGATCAGAGATTAACCTGTTTATAGAATGTTTTAAAAATGGAACTCTGGAGGTGCCAGAATTCCTGGATGTGCTGTTCTTACCTGTCCTTCCTTCCACCACGGCTTGTCGGGAGGAGATCCCTCCGCTTACTGTTGTTACCACTACGGAGTACAGACTGCCTGACTTGAGGGAGTGGAAGTTGTATGTGCTGGTCTCACTGGAGACGTTTTCATTTTTGATGACCACATTTTCATGAATGAGTAAGACTTGGTAGAACTCTACATCTCCCACTGCCTGGGTCCAGTTAGTGAACAGGCTGCTGGTTGTCCCTTGGTTGGCCACATGCAAGCCAGTCACTTGGGCAGGAACTAAAACACAGTAGACAGACAGAAGGAAAAAAACAGATGACACTTAGTCATCCTAAGGAAGTACAATAAAATTAAGTCAAAAATGAAGATAGTCTTGAAGATGCTAACTATATATATATATATATATTGCTATAGACTCTCAGCTCTATTTCCTGTGGCATATGGCAAACTACTCCTTTACAGAGACTCTACTATTATGAAAAAGCTGCCTCCATGGGAAATCAAAATTATTTTGGATCCAAGGATGAGATGATGCATGCATATTAAATAATTCTGATGTAAAATTTTCAATAGTGGAAGGTTGCTTAAAAAAAACTTGCTCACTCAATGTCATTTCATCTGTCCTCACCCCCTGAGAACACTAAACCACGTCATCACCTGAGCTGATAGCTGTCAGGACTGGTACTGGGAAATCCTTTCCTCCTGGTGATTAGCTTGCAGTCTAGAAAACTGGCCAATTCTTTATTGGCACAGTCTCAAGAAAATTATTATTATTATTATAAGTGAAAATGTTACAGTAACAGAAATTATATTATCTAATAATAATAATAATAATAATGTAACTATTGAGTGCCTCCTGTGTGCAGTTATGGGCTGTATGCTTTATAGAGATTATATTATTTGATACTCATTCAAAACTCCATAATGTTCATTTCATTATTCCCTTTACTGAAGAAGAAACCAAATATCATAAAACATAAGTAATTCAGCCTATATTGTAGTGCTAATGAGTAGTTAACCTGGGGTTCAAAGCCCGATCTTCCCAACCTGTGAGCCTGAGTCCTTTTCCTAACTAGTAACTACTGTGATTTCTAATCTCTCCATTGACAAACCTTTTGCACAAATCTCAAAGCTGGCACTTGAGCAACATACATCTTCTTTGTGTGTCTTCCCCGAACTATGGTAATCAAAGAGATTGACCTTGGCACAACTCTTCTCAGAATTCATTGATTTTGGATTCAGATACAAACATAGTCATTAAAAAATATTATTTTGGATGAAGGTGGTCAAAAGAGATACATTTCCAGGTAAAAGATAAACGTGTTGAGAGTAAATCCTATGAGTTCTCATCACAAGGAGAACATACTTTTTCCCATTTTTCTTTTTATTGTATCTATGTGAGAAGATAGATGTTAGCTGAAACAATTGTGGTAATCACTTCATAATATATGTGATTCAGCCCATCACACTATATGCCTTAAACTTATAGTGATGTATGTACATTATTTCTCAATAAAGCTGGAAAAAATATTACTATATGTGACCAGGAGATTCAATTTTAATTATAAACTGAATGTGTAAAGCACAGGAATTAATACGCCAAAACAATTTTGAAAAAGATTGGTGGACTGACATCATCTAATTTGAAGACATAAGAGAAAGCAACAGCAATGAAGGCAGTGTAGTACTGGTACAGGGATAAGCACATAAATCAACAGAACAAACTCGAAAGTCCAGAAATAGACCAACACATATATAGTCAGTTGATCTTTTACAGAGATTCAAGGGCAGTGAAGTAGAGAAAGGATAGCTTGTTTTTTTTCTTTTTTAACACATAGGGCTGGAATTATTAGATGTCCATATGCAAAGAATTAAACCTTGACCCATGTCTGGCACACATATAAAGTTTAACTCAAAAGAAATTACACACCTAAATTTAAAATCTAAAAGTATAGAAACTTGTAGGAGAAAATCTTTGTGACATTATGTTAAACAAAAATTTCTTAGATATGACATCAAAAGCATGATCCATGAAAAAATTGATAAATTGGGACATCAAAATTAAAAATGTGTGTTTTGCAAAATACACTAATAAATTAGTGAAAAGACAAACCACAGACCTGGAGAGAGTATTTCAACATACATTTATGACCAAGAACTTAGATCTGGAATAAAGAATTCTTTTTTTAAAGGTTTTATTTATTTTTAGAGAGAGGGGAAGTGAGGGAGAAAGAGAGGGAGAGAAACATCAATATGTGGTTGCTTCTCATGTACCCCCTACTGGGGACCTGGCCTGCAACCCAGATATGTTCCCTGACTGGGAATCGAACCTGCGACTGTTTGGTTTGCAAATCAGTACTCAACCCACTGAGACATACCAGCCAGGGCTGGAATAAAGAATTCTTAAAACTCAGTAATAAGAAACAAATATGGGCAAAATGTTTGAAAACATCTCTTTCCTCAAAGAAGATAAACAGATGGTAAATAAGCACATGAAAAGGTGCTCAAACCCATTAGTCATTAGGGAAAATGCAAATTAAAAACACAGGAAATATCAATACCCACATAGTAGAATGACTAATATTCAGAAAAAAACCTGACAATATCAAGTGCCGCTGAGGATATGGAGGAACTAGAAATCTTATACATTGTTGGTGGGGATATAAAATTATACAGCCACATTGGAAAACAGTTTGGTAGTTTCTAACAAAGTTAAACATACACTTAGCGTACAACCTAGCACTCTAAGTGGTGGGAATAATGAAAATGATCTTAAGTTTAAAACAATGCTTTGGACTTCCATCTCCAGTAGGATGATGGGCTACCTACCATGAAAAGCTCCCCAATAAACACAACTACATGTGTTGATAAAACAAAAATGTAAATCCATAAATGAATTGTCAAGAATGCAAGGAATTCTCAGAGACCTAAAAGTAAGTGCTAGGCAGGCAACTGAATTACTGAAAGATGCCTACTTCATCCTGTAGGCATCTTTTAAACACACATTTACACTTTGATTTTATAGCTTTGCAGGATCTACAAAACAGGAGGTAAAGTGTAGGACTTTCCCAGGCTGAGGAACCTCGTAAGTAACCCCGTGTAACATTGGATCCTGAAATGTTATATTCTAAGTGTAAGTAAAATAAATATTCCCTTTTTACTCCCACATCACCTCAACCTCCTAGACAATGGGAGGAAGAGAAAAAATTTCCACTGGAATTCATAACCTCAACACAGCTTCAGTGAATTTGCAACTCAGGTTCATAAAATCTAGTTGATCAAAAAAGCCTCAAGGTGACAGTTTAGATTAAAATAGGTTTGGGTTGAGAGTAATCCTGTGTACCTGAAAGAATAAAGTGAAAAGAAAGTTCTTTCTGAAACCCACTTTCAAACAAGGCATCAAAGAATTCCCACAGAATAAAATCCGAACATATGTGAGTTCACAGTAAAAAGTTATAAACATTTAAAGAAGTATAAGCTTTTAACTTCTTCCTTTGCTCAATCTGTGTGTGTTCCTTAAGCAAAGGTTGTTTATGTATTACATTTCATCAACCCTATACTTAATTGTATGTAAAATTTCCTCTTCCCAATAAAACTTTTATTTTCATATGTTAAAAAATTAAAGAAATAAAGCATCATGAGCAAAGGAAACAAACTCAATAGACAACAGAATGCACCCCTGTAGTTTTCAGATATTATAATTATCAGAAATAAATTGTAAAATAAAAATTGTTAATATGCTTATAGCAATAAAGGAAGAGAATGGAACTATGACTAAAGAGAACCAAAGACAATGTTTAAAAGTGAAAAAACATACTAATTAAAATTTAAAACTCAATTGATAGATTTTAAAATAGTTTGGACAGAACCAAAGAAAAAAATAATGAACTTAAACAAAGAGCTGAGAAAATTATCCAGACTATAGCCCAGAAAGCAAGTACATGAAAAATATTATATAAATAATATTTTATAAATAATATTATAGTAATAGTATAATATTAACAATGCAATTAATAATGTTAATATTAATTAGTATATTAGTATATAGTATATTATATTAGTATAGTAGTATAGTATATTAGTATTAGTATATAGTATATTAGTATTAATATACTATATTACTATAATATTTTATATTATATAATTAATATATCAGGAGGTAATATATATTATATATATAATATTATATATAAGAGATATATAATATATAATATTACATATTATATATTATATTATATTACAATTAATATATTATATATTAAATATTTATATAATATTTTATTATAATATTATATAAATAATATTTTAGCATACCAGTGGGAGAAGAGAGAGAGAATGGAAAAGAGGCAAGAGGCAATATTAAAGAGCTAATGGGCGACAACTTCCAGGACTGATGAAAGATACTAATCTGAAAATGCAGAAATCCCAATAATCTCAGGCATGATAAACTAAAAGAAGTCTCTACTTAGATCATTGCCATGAACAGCAGAACAAAGGCGAAGAGTACATCTTAAAAGCAATCATAGGAAACAGAGTACTTGTAGAGAAATAAAAATTAGACTGACAGCTGACTTTTCAATATCAACAATAAATGTCAAATACTTGAGTAATGTACTTGAGTAATGTCTTTAATGTGCTGAGAGAAAAGAACTTTCAACCAAATTGTAACCCAGGAAAAACATCTTTGAAGATTGACAGCTATATAAAGATATGCCCAGAGAAACAAAAGTGTAGACAGTCTGTCCCTAAAAGTCTCAGTAAAGAAATTTGAAGAATGTTTTCCAAGTTGAAGAAACATAATACCAGCTGAAATATCTGAGGTATAGAAAGAAAAGAAGAAGAAAAAATTGGTAAATTGGTGGGTCAATCCAAGGATACTTTGACTGTATAAAACAATAAGTATATTTTGTGGGGTTAGAAAAGGAGAAATAAAATAAAGGACAACAGTATACAAATTGGGAAGGGGAGCCTTTGATGATGACATTGCTTCCTATTTCACTTAGAAAAGGAGAGAGTTATAAAAAGATAAGAACCCACCACTCTATCTCTACTTGCTGTACCTGCACCCATATTCTCCCTCTCCCCTTCTCTCTCTGTCTCGCAGCTGACTCTAAAGTTAAGCTACCTGTGCTCCTTTCCAAAGCCAATTCTTTACCATATGCTCTACATCCCAACAGCTCTTGCCTACTCATAGAATAATGGCAGCAACTCTAACTCTTCCCTTTCTCTGCATAGCGTCACTGCCCTTCTTTCTTCTAAAACATTCCCATCAGCATAAAATACATTGTTATTGATTCTACCATTAAAAAATCACCTTCTTTTGGAACATACTTTCTCTTTCAGATGCTGCCCTATTTCTCTGCTCTCCTTTGTAGCATGACTCCTCAGAAAGGTTGTTCTTTGCTCTAAGTTTAGCAAAATAAACTCAAAATAAGACAAAACATGGAACTATTAAAGACAAGAGCTGAAATTAGTAAAAATATAAAATGAACAACAGAAAGGATCTATAAATCAAGGCCTGGGACATAACAGACACTTAATGAACATTTATAAACTGAGTGTTAAAGAATTCTGCAGACAGGATACTTTTAAAGCCTAAAGTTTAAAGAATATTACCTGTTCTTCCTTCCATTGAAGATGAATTTTTTAAGTCTCCACTAATGCTGGTGACAGTAGCTATGTATTTTCGTCCAGGCACCAGGTCAGTAAAAGTGAATTCTTTGGCATCTTTGGGGAGTAACTTGTGGATGAGCAAGAGGTCTCTGTCTGCTAGGGAGATGATGTATTTCTCCCATTCTGCAACTGGGGTCTGCCACAGGATGCCCAGAGAGGTTTCATTGGCATGTTTGACACGAAGCTGGAGAACAGCCAGGGGGACTGAGAAAAAAACAAAAAGGAGTTTGGGTCACAGACTGACTCAAAAACACTTGCTCCGAACAGCTCTCTATTCTTTAGAGAACAGCTGTTCTCTTCCACCCACAAGAGGGTTCCAATTCAGCATTTCTTTTCTAAATGTTTATGAACATTAAGAAAAAAAGCTGACCACAAAATCTTTACACAACATGTTTATACAACATGACCAGAAATAAGGACTCAAAATATTACAACTGGAAACTACTTCACTAGGTCTTTTATTTTTGGCCCGGTAATACTTTTTGAGTGCTTGTTCTTCCTATGAATTCTATGATATGAACATATTTAATTCAATGTCATCACCCACAACATCCATAAAACCACAGAGAAAGATTACTCTGAGTACTTCGGGAGGAGTTAGGAGTATCCATTGCCCCCATAGCTTGAAAGGACAAAGGGATTTTTCCTTCATCTCTAAGGAGGGAATGCTGATGCATCAATGACAGGGAGAGCAATAAAAGTATAGTTGGGGACTGCTAATAGTATCTGATTAAAGACTCCCATTATCCAAAGAATTGAAATTTCTTCCATTTCTTTAAAACACAGGTTTTATTATTAGAGCTTCTAAGAGACATTGTTAAGAGTAAATTGTTGACCCCATAAAACAAAATTATGGAAGAATTAAGTGTGTACAATTATATTGTGAATTTTGCATCAAAGAACTTTTCTGTCATCTCCTATGATAACAATGCCTTCTTCTGGAATACCTCCCCAACAACCTGCCTGAGGGACACTTGAAGATATATCAGAAATATGTACATGGTGGTTTGCTTGGTTTCTTTCTTTCAAATCACAGATTTGCTTGTAAGTAAAAAATGTACCATGAACATTTCTCTCTATCAATGAAAACATCCTGGCGTTGGGGGTCCATGTTTTCTAATTTTTTTAAGGGGTTGGTTGAGGTCTGCAAAGGTTTCTGCTAAACCCTTCATTGTGAATTTTCTTGGGGGTTCTTTTTCTTATCCTGCAGTTTCCTTTTTTGCTTGCTTTTTCTTTAACTAGATGTTCCTGGTCTAGTTCCAAGAGCTCCTCATTAGTCAGTGCCTCAGGAACCACCTCCATGTCATCCTCATCCACACCTAGGTTAAAGCTTTGCCATCTCCAACACAGCCGTGTTGATTTTTGTAATCTCCTCCTTCTTGGCAAATCCTTTAAAGTCATGGACCTCTTGAATGTCTTCCAGATGCCATTCATACACTCCTTGGTGACATAACCCACGCTGAAGCAAGGTTCTTAATGAAGTCATAGATATTGTAATCCTCCCAGAACTCCATTAGTGTTTTCTTGGTGTCTTCCTTCACTACAGCAATAGCTTGGGCAAAGGTCCTCCCCAGGACCTTACAATCTCCTGTAACTCCTTGATCCATTGGTTGGATCAAGAAGGTGGTGTCTCCAGGGAGAAACACTACTTTGACTTTGGGATGAAGATCAACAATAAGCAAAATCTTGAAAGGCATGCTATTATTCTCTGAACGTAGCAATTCAGGAGTGCATCTTACAAGAGGGCCTGGGCTACCTCAGACTTCTTATTGCTCCTGATGTACACTGGCAGAGTGTGCTCATTAATATGCTTGAAGGCCCTGTGGTTCTCACTGTGCCAGGTCACAAAGGGTTTTAATTTGTAGCCTGCAACGTTGTCCTAAAGGGAGACTGTTACTCTGTCCTTAAAAGCCTTGAAACCTGGCATTGATTTGGCCTCTTTATGGATGAAAGTCCTTGGAGGCATCCACTTCCAGAATAGGGAGTTTTCATCTGCATCAAATATTTGCTTTGGCAAGTGATTTTCCTTTATAATCAGCTTATCTAGAGTTTCCAAAAATTCTCCAGGAACCTTCGATCACGTTCACATTATATAATGAATAACGATTCTTGAACTGTTTCAACCACCCAGAGCTAGCAGTGAACTCAGCATCATAGTCAGGCCCAGCGTTTTCTTCCAACATCGCACACAAACATTTCGCTTTGGTTGTGGGCATCCCGGTGCTGAGAGGGATGGGCTTCTGTGTCGGGTCTGTAATCCAGGTCATTAGGAGTTTCTCCATGTCTGACAAAAGCCCTTCTCAAATTTTTCTTAGTCTTTTCCCCTTCCATAAAGCAGACACTTTAACAGCTTTTATCATTTTGTTCCCGTTCTTCAAGAAGGCAGCTACGATGGAACGGGACATGCATAACTGGCGCACAATAACCATCACTGATTTTCCAACTTCACAGTCCTTAGTCACTTTTAATTTCACTTCCAGGTCAGTCTCTCAGTGAGGCCTCTTATTGGCAATATCAACAGCGAATTTTGTATGCGCAGGAGTCATGATGACCAAAGCAACACGAGATTAAGTTAAGCACAACAGAAATGATGCACTCAGGGGATGGTAAACATGAGATGTATGTGCTGCTTCTGGTGTAGCATGGCACACTGTTTTACAGCAAACATTTTTAAAATAAGTAGGAAAAGTACACTATAAAATAATGATACAAGTATAGTGTCGTAAATATATAAATCAATAACATAGACTTTTGTTATTATTATCAAGTAGTATGTATTATGCATAATAGTATGTGCTGTACTTTTACACGACTGGCACAATAGTAGGTGTGTTTACACCAGTGTCACCACAAATATGTGAATAATGCGCTGAGCTATGATGTTATGATATCTATGACATCACTAGGTCCACTATGATCTTATGAGACCACTGTTGTATATGGTGTCTGTCACTGACTGAAAAGTTATTATGCGGATCATGACTGTAGAAAATAATGGAATGACTAGTGGAAGTGATCTCTCATATTCTTGTTGGACCAACCTAAGCATTACCAACCCTGTTCTAGTCTGCAAGCATAGAATATCTCAAGTCCAGAAAATTCCAGAGTACAACATCGACAGTTTCCTGGGTTCCTTGGCAAAGAGACCAAATTAAGATTCCATCAGTTATTAACACCTTGACATTTGCTTACCTGTCCTGCCTTGGCAATGTTTAGAGTTCTTCAGATTTCCACTCTCAACAATGATTTCTATATCATACTGTCTTCCCGGTATGAGCCCCATGTCATTTATGACATAGTGCGTTTCCTCCTTTCCCACGGTGACATTGTGCAGCACCCAGGAATCATTGAAGAGCAGGATACGATACTGCTCCCAGTCTCCAGCAGGGGGCGACCAGCCCACTACCAGGGACTTCGAGGAACCGTTGCTATGTGCCTCCAGGTTCCCAACTTTCTCTGGAACTAAATGGTAAAATGATGTCAAAAAGGAAATACTGAGAACCAAAAGTAAGGATACTCATTCATTCTTCACGGGCAACATTTCTATCCTCACCTGATGTTTGTGGATTGCAAATGAATGTTCTTTCCTCACTTTGGGGACATTTGATACTCAAGAAATTTATGCCCAAATCACTGTAGTAGTATATTAGAGATGCGATCTTCTGTAACACTGTTCATAACCTAGTGATATGACTGCTGTGTTTACTGACTGCACACCAGCTCTAGAGTCAATACCGATGTTGCATCTATGATGGTGACATTGATGGATATGGTATTTTTGGGAAGAGACTGCATGTTGTGGTCATAAAACATTCCTCTTTGTTATCCAACTGAGAAGACTAATCTTACAATATAGCTCTGATGTTATTTGCTTGAAAACATTCAAGGTCTCTCTATTAACTACAGAACAAATCATCAAGTCTTTGGTGTGGCATTTGTAGTTCTCCACAATAAGGCTCCCCATCCTTCCAGTCTTAATTCTGATACTCCTGCAGCCACCCTCCCTCCTTCCCACTCTCTTGAACGCTGGCCTCTAGGTGCTTGCTCTGCAGATCTGTGAGTCTCCTGGGCTCTTATGCCTTTGCTTGTGTCATTCCTTCCACCTCAAATCCCTTTCTTTCTTTTCTCTCCAAGAAATCTTTACTGGTCTTTGGAAAAAAAAAATCTGTTCTCTTGTCTCTCTGACCATATGGCTCTTTCTTTGGATCTATAATAGCATAGGGAACAGACTCTGGAATCAAACAGCCTGATTTAAACTCCAGCCACACTATTAACCAACTGGATGGCTATCCACAAGTTATTTATCTGTAAAACAGTGATAATAACACAACCTTTCTCATGGTTTTGTTGTGAGAACTAAATGAAATAATGGTGTAAAATACTTAGTGCCTGGCACGTAGAAATATCAATACAATTATCATTATTAAAATGTACTGCAGTATTTTTATTTTTGTGTATATGTTCTACATTTGTGTGATTAAAAAGTAACTTCCTTAAAAGCAAGAGTAAGCAAGTAAATATTTCAGGTTTTGTAGGCCATTGTGGTCTTTGTCTCATTTTTTTAAAATGTTTTAAAAAATGTAACAACCCTCTTAGCAAGAGGCTGTACAAAAACACGTTACAGGCAGTGTTTGGCTGAAGGGTATCGTTTGCTGATCCTGCCATTTTAACAACTCCCAAAGCTCATTATACAATAATTTACACATGAAGGCCCTAGATAATTTAGTAAATAATAACATAATTTAGTAAGAGCCATGGTTAAATGCTAACCGGCCCTTACTATAAGAGTTGATCAGAAATATTTCATCCATTATTATCAATGCTAAGGCATTTACATTACTTAAGTGGTGCGACATGAAACAGCACAGGGCGGGGACAGCTATGTAGATTATGCAGGAATCAACCAAATACCTTTGCTTAAGTACCTCAGGTGAATGCAGTTAACCCTCTGCTTTGCTCTGTACGTGGGGCCCTGGCCAGCAGACACCCTCAGTCATGAAGACCATACTTCCCAGGTTGGGAATGGAGTTTCCTTTCTTACTTTTGTCCTAGTCTAAGAGGGATCAGAGACTGGTTTGAGCGACAAGGAATATTCTGGAGCTCAGACTCACCTGTTCTGCCAACTGCCATCTTGTGAGCAGACAATTCACCAGAGACGCAGCTGACAGTAACTTGATAAAGTCGTCCAGGGGTTAAGTCTTTAAATTGGGTTTCTGTAACCTGGGGTTCTAATCGTCTGGAGTTTTTGATGGTCCCTTGGTAAGACAGGGTAACATTGTAGAAATCTTTATTTCCAGGAGGTATTTGCCACTTGACTTTTAGAGAGGTCAAAGTGCCATCATTTGTCACCTTCAGATTTAACACTTCCCTGGGGGCTAAATCGGAAGAAAGGAAGAGACTTTAACTCAGGATATCTTACCAGGCTCGTGGCCAAATTTTGACCTGAATTTTAATCTTGACAATCCACACCCCCTGCACAGAAGAAAATGACAAATTCATGAGGCAAAAATAATACTGCAGAACCAAAGGAAGACTACCTGGCTAGTAGGAAGAACACAAATGTGGCAGTAGGAGCCTGAATTCTGGCTCAGACTGAGTCAGGTTGGCTGGGGGACCCTGGGAAGCTCTGCCTAGGTCCCTGAGCCTAGGGGTCCTGTTGGTAAACGAGGGCTTGGCCAGCATTCTTTAAGTGTAATGGCAATTTCTACTTAATTTCATCTGCCTAACTTCTTCCCCTTTTTATTTATTTAATCATAGCAAGTACATAATAGCTTGATCAACGGATTAGCTATTACAAAACTCTGTGTGCTAAAAATATTGTCGTTTTAAAGCATGGTAAAATTAAAGCTCAAGAGTTGTGTCAATGACTCATTGATCCTGAAATTAAATTTTTATCTTGTTCCTCCTCCTCCTCAAATTAAAAACAAAAAGTTGTGTCATTATTTCATCAATGGAAAATGATCACAAAGGGAAGACATTTTGGTGAATATTTTTTCTACCTCTTGATGATGCTATAGTTTTGGACGTCACTAATGTCATATAAATTAACAACACTTCATTAAAAGAATGGGTGTAGCATACTGATTTTGCATAGAGTGGTTAGAGGTATAATTTGTTCTTGGTATACATGAATTTTTCTTAAGATAGATGCTACATTTCTGTTGGGATTGTCTATATATCTTTGAGATGTGATTGAAAAGATATATGTAAATGCATAGGTGTCCCCAAATATCATTCCCACCAGACTCCTATAGTTTCAGACGCTCTCATCACTAGAGTGATTTCTCAGACACCACATATTTTAGAGTTACTGTGAATCTAAGATAACTTTCCAAGAGAGGGGATTTATTAACACATTAGATCCACCAGAAGCATTGGCATCTACTAGAATGTAAGTTCCATGTGGGCAAAGACTTTGTCTCTCTTGGATGCTGTTACATCCTCAATGCCTAATACATAGTTTATACCCAATAGCTATGGAATGAATGAATGAGTGTGCATATGAAATTATTCATGAAAACAGCCCCAGTTAGTTTATCAAGCTGCATTAGGCTGTGGGAACAGACCCTGTAGTTGTTGGCTAGAGGTTGGGGGAAATGGCTGTCTCTAAGGAGGAGGTCTTTGCATAGCATTGAGAAAGGTGTCCTGCTCCATGGTGAGTGATGTCACAAGGGCAATGGAATACTGTTTAAAAGAAGGAAGACTGCCATTCTGAGATGAGAAGCCAAGGCTAGATTAGTAATTAATTTTGTTACTTCAGAACATTGTCAAGGGCTATAATGAAAGGGAACCCCTCTTTCTATGCAGAAAAGTGGATACATATTAAGGGCTTTCTCTAACGTAGAATTTCAACTGGTCCTATATTGCCACTATTCAAATAATTAATAAGCCTTGTTTGTTAAACATTCCCTTGATTTGCATTTTATTCTTGTTCAGCTAGCTAGGGAACTTACTTGTCCTGGCCAGTTTCCACTTGCGGTTTTGCAGCCCTGCAGCCTCAGTTACAATGGTGAGGTTGTAGAGGTGGCCAGGCGTCAGTCCATGAAAAGTGTAGGAAGTAGTATGTTTGTTCACGATAGTGCCATTAACTAGGATCCCTTTATCCATCAGCATCAGCTGGTATCTTTCCACATTACCGGAGCCATGGGACCAGGAAATCAGGAGAGAATTAGTTTGTGCTGAAATACCAATGTCTTTCACCGGGGATGGCACTAAGGGGACACAAGGGATTTCCAAAGTGTCATTCACAACTTCCTTGGAGAAGACACAGACACATTTAATTCAAAACTGCACATTAATTTATGCTTCCCTGTAATCTAACTTGTGTGATACTGAATGAAAATAGCACTTTTGAAATTTCACTGAAACCTAGATTAATGCTCTTTCCAAAGTGCACAGCCTAAAGCTACATCATAGTTTGCCTGCCTGTCTCCCCCACTTAATAGGGATTAGGTAGTTTTTGCCAATGAAGTATGCTGTGGCATAACAGTAAAGGGAAAAGAAAAAGGAAAGAGCTATAGGAGAGAAAAGTGGAAAACAGCAATAAAGCTGGAGAGAAAATGAGGGAGAGTGGGTGGTAGGAAAGGCAGCACTCATGGAAGGAGGTCATGAAATGTCATTGATATTAGGGAACGCAGGTGCGAGCAGAGACTCTTTACCAATGTGGGATTCTTCAGGAAATACCACAGCTTGATGATGTGAGAAGAGGAAAAGGAGGAAAGCATTCAAGAAATGAATTTTATGGGGCACATACTCAGAAAATACTGTTGCCTAAGATTTGAGTTAGAAGGGCCAGTAAGAAATATTTACTTATTTTGGAAAAAATTCTTGTCCCAGAAAAGTTTTGTGACATGTTCAAAATAGCCCAGCAAGCTAGCAGCATAGCTACACCTCCTTGTCTTCAGTCCAGGTTTTCCATTGTATCACATGACACTTAGGTATGTGTGTATGTATCTTTGATCTGGGGGCACTGTTACTTCCATTTCTTGACTTTAATATAATGTCAAAAGGGACATAGACTATTAAATGCCCGACTATCTGTAAACAGGTCTTACCTGTTGATCCATTGGTATAAATTGTTGAGGAACGTTTATGTCCAGAAACAGCTGTGATAGCAATATTGTATTTATTACCAGCAGTAAGGTTATGAAATGCATATTCATTCCCTGAAGTATTTTCTTGAATGTGGGCCTCCTGTATCTTTTTGTTGTCATCAAATAACTGCACTTTGTAACCTGTGACTCTTCCAGAAGGAGTCCACGAAACATGCAAGCTGGTTGAAGTAGCCTTCTCTTGACTGACCTCAAACCTTGAAGGAGGTAAAGGGTCTGCAAGGCAAAAACCAAGAAAGAGAACATGGCTTGAAGACTTCTGCAAAACATGCTTACCTTGCTCTAATCCAGACTCATTTTCCTTAAAAAGTTTAAGCATCTGCTGCCTGTGAAACAAACTGGCATTTTACTTCACTTCCAAACTTACCATTTCATTTAAAAAAGAAACACACTCAGTTATTAGCTATACAAACTCCTTTTTCTAATATAAAAATTCTTTTCTGAGCTTGGAATTCCAGGTAAGGTGACATTTTCTTTGGCTTGCAAAGTCAGCATTTTTCCAACATTGACAAACGTCCAGGCTATGCCTGGGCAAAAATTGAAAATTCAACAGAAAATGCAGATATTAAGAACTAATTTTGAAATTTGTACTGAACTTTTTCTTTTTTAAGTTGTGAATTTTCATGGTGTAAGTATAGATGATTTACGGTTGTTTTTAGATATCAGGAAACCAGAAAAGATACAGACCTAATTAAAGGCCTAGGTTAGGTTTGCTCCCCAAAATGAATTGTCTCAGCAGCTGGGGTTGCCTATGTCACCAAATTTTCAAAACTTGAGTTCTGGGACACTTTTGAGCTGCTGGGGCCCGCAGAGCAGGTGGGAATGGGTTAGTACTGCACTCAGCTGTTTATTTAGTTTCAACCCTCAAAGCCGTGGGTCAGTTTGAGAAGTTCCATTTCCTATGCATTGAATCTTGAAACAGATGAACAGAGTACCTCCAGGTTAAGAACTAAGTCAATAGCGTTTAGTGAGCAGTCACTGCACAGTGCAGCGAGACCATCTGAGAAATGAGGCTCTCCTTACTCTGAATGCTGGGAGTAGAAGCGTTGAGAGATGTTTACATATGAGTAATTTTCAGAAATTCTACATGTTCTTGATGTAGAAAGTGGGATTAAGTTAGTAGAAACTAAATTTCAATAGTCAGGTCAGATATTTTAGTGGTATGGTTATAGAGATCTCAGTTCTTATCTACCTCTTGGGAAATTATATTTTTCTCACACAGTGACTGCAGGAATTCTAGAATGTTCTTAGAATAATATGTTTTAAAAAGGCGTTCGTTTGTGAATAACACTTATACAAATAGGAACAAGGTAATTTTTATTCTGTTCAAAAGGCATTTACAACCAGACAGCTTATAAAACTATCTACACCACACGTAGGCTAAATTCAGCCTATGATAAATCTAATGTCTTTGTGTTTTGGTCTTTGATTTTAATGAGTACATCATACTGCAAAAACTGAATAAGCCACATACCATTTTACATGAGCAATAATTAATAATAATGTAAATATTAGCCAACAAGTAAGCCAAGGCAGTTGTAACTTCAAGAGCCAGAAGCACAGATGAGTTTGGAGGACGAGGTTGTATGGTTTACCCGCAGCCCAGCACGGATTCCCCTGGGGAGGCAGGGCTGGAATCGGCTCCCCTGCTCTGTAGCCATGCCCTCGGGCAATTCCTTAACTTCCCTGTGCCTCAGCTGTCTCACCTTTGCAGTGCTGGTGATAACACTATCATTTTAGTAGAATTGTTATGAAGATTAAATTGAGTATTTTATCTAGAGCACTAAAAACAACATCTGGTACATGGTAAGTGTTCGCTGTTAGCTAGTATTATTATTACTCCTATAACCAGGGGGAGATCTTATCATAGAAGCAGGAAGACAGAGTAGCAGAAACGTTGGGCTTTGGAGTTGAACGGAACTCAGTTCAAATCTCGGCTTTGGTCTTAAGACTTGGGCAAGTTACTTCGCCAGTCTAAGCCTCCCTTTTCCCATCTGCCTGTGGAGAATAATAATAGTACCTACATTCTCTGATGTTTTGAGGAATAACAAAATATAGATTTTACCTGGCATACGATTTAATTTAAATTAATTTTGTATACTCACCAATTTAAATGAATTCTGCCTACTCAGTAATTTAAATTATTTTTGTCTACTTAATCATAGAAAAAATTTCCTCTGAATCACTGACAAAATGCAGGCAAAAATGTGATACAATTTCTTAAACTAAAGTGATAGAAGCCTAAATTGCTTTCTTCATAAAAAAATACCTAGATAAATATCTTATCAGTTTATTCCCATGAACTAACTTTCTAACCCTTAGGATAAAATAAAAAATTCCCAAAGTGATTCTCATTTATAAGCTCTGGTGGGAAAACAGTTTTTCTTATTTCTGGCAATATTATTTAAATTTTCTATCCTACATAATAGTCTATAACCAAGAATGTCATAGTCAAAGGAAAGAACATAATTTCCCCTCACAGAAAGTTTTCTTTTTGCCAGGCAAGGATAAGATACTCCACTGCCATAAGATTCTAATAGCCAACAAAACTCAAAAGCAACCCTGTCATAGCCAACCAAGATGACACATTTTTGTGCTGAAGAAGCATTTTAAGGACAAGCATGAGAGGGACAGCTGCTTTCCAGTGGCGGCTCAGATGAGACCAAGGCTGTGCTGTCGTCTCTGTCTACAACTGAGCCAGATAAAGGCCAAAGAAAATGATGTATGTTCAATACAATCTAAACATATATAATCTGAAAAATATGAGCTATAGAAAGTGAATTTTAAGGTCCCGTGCCTAGAGGGTGAAGTTCAGCAATGCAGACTTTATCTAATCTCTCTGAGCCAGAAAACAAAACAGTCAATCCTTTGTACATCCGCTAGAACAAAGGAACAATGAGACTGGGAAGTGCCTGGGCTTCGAGAACCTGCACTGGAAACAAACACTTAAAACCCCATTTTTGCTGTGATAAAGCCCCGTGCTGGCAGGGGCCCACTATTGCTATGCATGCAGCAGCCCTTCGTGTTCAGACATCTTTTCAATGTAAGTCCAGTGAAAACTCCGCTGTATTAAAGAACAAATTTTCAATATTTCATTAGAAACAGATTAGATCCATCAGGGATGCTAACTTCATATAGAAATACATACAAATTGAGATTTTAAATGTTACTGGAAAATTTAGTTACTTACCTGTAATCTTCTGATCAAAAGAAAAATTGTATGTAATCAGAAAACCTTACTTGGCTCCTGTTTAATTTATGCTGGTGGTAGAGGTATCAACAGATGTATGTGTGTATTACAACCTTCCTGGGTTTTCCCCCATCACTCCCAAACATAGTAACCAGTGAAGTATTATAAACTAAGGGAACTGTTGAAAACTATAAATCAATAACTTAATCTCAAGCATACATCCAAATGTACCATTAGCCACACATTTAAGACATTTGTGCTTCTTAGTTTCAGACAGACCTGGAACGCCAAATGCAAAGTTCTGCCACATTCTTCTGCTGTATTTCAGTGAGCCTACCAGTATTAGGGAGCCCTAGAATTTCATAAGTTGGCCTGATATCAACCCAATTTTTCTATTCTCAGAGGAAAAGATGCAGCTTTAGCTAAATTCCTGAACCAAAATGAATTTCCCTTTTTTCCTTTTTTAAAATGTGACTTCGGGAGAGGGAGAAACTCACATATGTGTGTATACACACACACACACGTGTGTATATATAATGAAAGTAATATTTTCTTTAAAAATTCTTTTGTATGGCCATTAAAACACTATTATTTATTGATAAAGGAATTCCCAGAGTGTTTAGATTTCAAAGTGACAGCATTTATTTTGGACATAAATTCAACCTCATAACAAGAGTGCAGACAATGCATGGGTTAATGTCAAATGCTATTCTCGAAGTCCTAGCAGCGCCATAGTATATCTGTGTCAGATCTGGTAGTTTACAATATGCTTTCTCATTTTCAAAAACCTGCACCAACGGAAGGTTTGTGGCTTTTGCACCACAGAAGAACAAAATGAAAAAGCAATTGCTCACAATCTCCAGCTAATGAAATACATCTCTTTCACTTTGTGACTGTTGCTGTTTGACTATACTAGGCAGCTTTCTGACTTATTTTAAGATGACATACTATGTTATGCTAACACATCCAATTAACATACATTTAATTTAGCACCTTAACACACCAGCCATAAAGTTCAGGTAAGAAGGAACTTTTAAAGTTTTAACAACTCTGAAAGGCAATTGAAGCAGTTTTGACAATTATTTGCATCATCACTAACAACAGCGCAGGATGCCACATTATCTTATGTGACTTTAGGTGTGTAAGTAGTATGTGGTCCGCCCTCTGAGAGTTTACAGTCTACTCAGGCAGTTAGCACCTGTGAGAAAAAGGTAAACAAGAGGTGCACTATCAGGGAGGGCGACTTCAATGTCAGATGAAACCTGGGTTCAAATCCCAACAGTGTCAGTTATGAAGGTGACTTTAGGAAAACTATTTAACTTTGCTGATGCTTAGTTTCCTGTCTATAACATGGGAGCAACAACACTTTCCAGAGTTGCACGTGGTAAGAGGTAAGAGAGGTACAGTGGTAAGTGCTAGCCTGACACACCTTGGGCTTTCAGTAAATGGCAGTTGGTATGAGTGTTGCTGCTGGTAAGAATAACACAGTGGGCATTAATGCTAAATATGCAAATGGAGAATGACAGCCAAGGGCTAAGGGCTCAGAGGTGGGCTTTATGAAGGAAATGAATTTCAGCAAGTTTGGGAGGTCAAGTAGGACTTAGAAATCAGAGGGAAAAAAGGGGACATTTCAGAGTGAGAGCGCTGTTTAAGCTAAAGCTGAAAAGCTCTTTTCTACTGAGCATTAGTGTCAGCGCTGAGGGTACCCTGACAACTGATGGAGACTTTAACCTCCTCATCCCCATGATGCCCTTCAGGAGGCCCACTCCACTCCTTGGACATTGACAACGGAGGCTCTCTCAATGTTATCTAAGTGCTCCAAGTCCCTTGACCTCCTCCTTCACTCAGATTGCATCTCTCATGTAGAGATTCATGAGCTGTCACTTAATGTGTGCTTTCAAACCCGAACATCGAGATATCAAGGAATTATTGTTAATGTTAGGTATGATAATGATATTGTGGTTGTGTGAAAAATAATCTTATCTTTCAGAAATGCATACTAAATATTTATAAATGAAATTGAATG